AGGTGTAAGACAATTGATGACAAAACATTTACAATTGAAAGTTTCATCTGGTGTGCAGAGACTTAAAGTAAAAATTAATCTTAATCGAATATTTTCTGGAGCCCGTGGCTAAGAAATCACTGATTGGGGAATTGTTTTATTACCTCGAAATTTTTATATCATCCGAAAGTCGTACACGTATTGCAAATCAGATCAGAAAATTATCATCAATAGACGACAATTATATTAGTAAATTGTTATTTTGTTCAGGTATTTGCGATCAGGGCAACTTTACATCAGGAGATCTAACTACGATGATACAGATCAATTAGGCAAAAAAGATTTTGGCAAATAATTTGAATGTGTTAAGTAATTTTCTGTACCCGACCGTCTCGTATGCATAATACGAGACATTTTAAGTAATCGGACCTTACGCTATCGCGTCGAGGGCGTCTGTTCGACAACGTATCCCGTTCGAGCCGGGGTACCCCAAGGGTCAGTGTTGGGCCCAGTCCTGTTTACACTCTACACCGATGACATACCGCGTTTCAAAGATGTAGAATTTGCCCTCTTTGCCGACGACACCTGTCTTTATACCACAGGCAGAACACCCGAAATAATCCATCGACGCCTCCAAGCTGCAGCCATCACCATCGGTGACTGGTTTCGGCAATGGAGGTAATCAATCCGCCAAGAGCGCGGCCGTCCTTTTTTCACACAAAAACATACCTAAACCACCCCCGTTAAACTCATGGATAGTCCGGTACCATGGGTGAACAAAGTCAAATATTTAGGTGTCGTCCTCGACTCCCAACTTAAATTCAACCAGCACGTGACTCGGGTCAAGAACTGGGCGGCCTTCGTGCTCGGTCGCCTCCATCCGCTCCTTAACAAAACGTCAAAAATGTCCGGTCTTCGCACACATTGCTCCGAAGCAAATACACCGCCTTCAGGTCATCCAAAATCGATTCTTGCGCAGAGCCACGGGAGCACCCTGATTCATGCGCAACATCGACCTAAATGTCGATTTAGAGTTGCCCACCAACGCTCAATTCTTGAAGTCGGCGTCGCGCCGATACTTTGATTCCGCCGCCGCGCATCCCAACCCGCTAATCGTAGGTGCCACCACCTACAGACCCATGCCGCTAGGTACGTTCCGCCGCAATCACCGTAGACCGCGACACGTTCTCGACTTCCCTGACGATGAGACGACTATCGCCATCGAAAGGATTAAAAAACTACGCAAACACCAATACACACAACACTCGCCGGCGAGTGCAAACATATAGGGGAGCGGGGGGTAGCCCCGGCCGGCGGGTAGCCTCGGCCACCGCAAATACTAGTGTGTTGTTACCTATAAGTACGTGTTATGTCTGTGTGCGTTTACTAGTCATTCGACATAAACTGACAGTTGAAGTCACCCGACCGCGTTGCTCGGACGCAAATTGAGTGTATTTTGTTTTTGGCGGACTGGTTGCGCGGGATACCAATTGTTTCGGAGACTATATTTATTGGATAAACGTAGGTAATTATTTATATCATATTTTTTACATATTTCAATACATTTCTATTTCATATATTTAAGTTTATCTTAATGTGTAATAATATGCTTTTTAATAAGAATTTTTTGTTTGATGAAAGTTGTATCGGGTAACCCTGGCCATCAGTGTTGGGGGTATCCCCGGCCATAGGAGCTGACGCTATTATTCCTCATTTATTTAAATCTAACACCTAATATTAATTTTTTGCAGTGGTACAATGGCCAAATTTAAGAATAGAACTACAAATCGCGGAGACTGGAGTGAAGAGAATATGAAAAAAGCAATTCAGGCCGTCCTTAACAAAAAATATTCTGAAAGAGCAGCCGCAGACCGATACAAAGTTCCACATACTTCTTTGCAAGATCGTATTAAAGGTATAAAACAAGGTTATCAGGTCACTCTTAAACCAAAATTAGGACGTTTTGAACAAACTTTCAAATCTGAGTTTGAAAGACAACTCTGTGAGCATGTTATAAATCTAGATAACCGTCTTATGCCTTTAACAAGAAGTGAGTTTTTGCGCCTTGCCTTTGAATTAGCAGAAAAACTGCAAATTCCTCACAGGTTTAACAAAAACAAACGAATAGCAGGAAAAGATTTTTTCTGCGAATTTAAGAAAAGGAATCCATATGTAGCACTTAGAACTCCTGAGGCAACAAGCTTGATGCGTTCTACAGGTTTCAATAAACCTCAAGTTGATCGATTTTATGACCTCCTCATCAGCCTATATGAGCAATTTAATTTTCAAGCTTCCCAAATTTACAATGCTGACGAGACTGGAGTCTCAACTGTCCATAAAAATGATAAAGTTTTATCAGTAAAAGGTAAAAAACAGGTTGGGAAACTCACTTCTGCTGAAAGGGGACGTAACATTACTGTCATGATTTCTATGAGTGCGTCGGGTCACTTTGTACCCCCTACGTTCATTTTTCCTAGAAAAAAAAATGGATAAGAATGGCCGGCTCATGATTGGCGCACCACCTGAAAGTCTGGGCATTGCCTCCGAAAGCGGATGGATGAATGCGGAGATATTTTTGCAGTGGCTTCAACATTTTAAGAAACATGTTCACCCGTCAGAATCTCGCCCTATTCTACTAATATTAGATGGACACAATGGCCACAAAGATCTGAATGTTATTGAATATGCTAAAGACAATCACATTCACATGCTGAGCACACCACCCCATACGACACATAAGATTCAGCCATTAGACCGTGTATGTTTCAAGCCTTTTAAACAGACTTATGGATCAGCAAGCGCATCATGGATGCGTCAGAACCCGGGTGCTCGACTAAGAGATTATGACGTTGCTGGACTGACAAATATAGCGTTTACCAAAGCTGCTAGATTAGAGATAGCCCAAAGTGTTTTCCGTTGCACAGGTATCCAGCCCTTTAATCGAGATGTGTTTTCAGACCTTGACTTTTTAGGTTCTGCGTTAACTGAGATACCAATTGCAGCTAGATCTAGTGAATTGACAATCCCGACTCCTGATTCTGCAGTATCTGAACATGAACCAGGACCGTCAACAAGCGCTTTAAATGTATCGTCAGCTACCATCGAGCTTCAGCAATCAATACCAACTATGAATGATGAACCAACAGCTAGCGTTTCAGCTGCGCCGCTAGCAACCTTACAAGAAGCAGTACCAAGTTCAAGTGTTGTTGTTGGGAATATTAATGATGTGCTTAAGAATTTATCACCTCTTCCGAATGCCTCAAAAAAACGTCTGACAGCTCGGAGAAGAAGAACACAAAAAAGTGAAATTTTGACGTCTTCGCCTTATAAAATGGAATTACTGGAGAAGGCCAAAGATACCAAAGCTGCGGTAAAGGTTAAGAGAAACATGAAAACGGGAGTAAAAGTTAAGAAGGTTGCATCTCAGCCAGATTCGCAACATCAGGAGACGGAATGCATTATTTGCGGTGAAACATTCAATGAGGATTGGATCCAATGCAAAATATGTGAGGACTGGGCTCACGAAGCATGTGTAGATTTAAATCCATCTCATTTGTACTATTACTGTGATGTATGTGTCACCAAAACACGCATTATTCTTTAAATACCTTTGTGGCCGGAGCTACCCGCGATCTTTAAGAGATTCCCAAATTTGATTTATATTTCAAGTGGCTTTAATTACAGAGTGATTATGTTGTTGTCTTAGTTTTCGATACTTATCTTAAATAAATATAACGTTCATTAATTTTTATACTTTTTTTATTATTTTACGTAATAAATATAGTCATAATAACGAAAACAAAAAAATGGCCGGGGCTACCCCCCTCTCCCCTACTAGGTTCCGCCACGTACCTGGCAGGTTGTCCCCAGTTAATGATAGAAGCGTTTCTGGAGTTTCTTCCGCCACTTCTTCTCACAGCGCCAACGCTTTACGAAGTGGTAGTAATGATAGCTCTAGAAATCCCCCCAGTCAGATAACAGCTACCGATCGAGCCGAGGTCCGGCCCTCTCGGGCACCCTCGACTTAGTCACCATAACGCATAATAATAATACGCCGAGGTTCAGGCTAGGCGCCTCGGGCGCCCGGCCATCTCATGCCCGTCGGATCTGTAAAGCCCCCTGAGGCCAACAGTGGCTCATCCAGCCAAAAAAAAAAAACAAAGTAATTTTTAGTTGCAACGAACATTGCATTGTGCATTTAACAAACCTCTCCCATCAAACTACCGCAAGAAAAACTTTCGTACAGATGAAACTAACAAACATAAGTATTGAAGACTTTCTGTTCATCTTTTTTGTGGATAGAACTAATTTTATGAAAACTTTATGTCCATTGGGTTGACAATTGAAATTTTTGAAAGGTTTTCATGTCATAAACTTATCACCGCATCTGGTGAAAGGAGGACTGGTTCTTTCGCCAAAAGTCTATTCAGGGGATAACTAACTATTCAGAGAGGAAATGCAGCTAGCGTTCTTGGTACCACGCCGAGAGGACTAGGTTTAAAGGATGACATGTAATTAAGTTACACTTTATGTTACAAATATTGGTGTTTTGTGGATGTTTTTTAGATAATATGGTTCATAGGCAATGCACTTAAGCATATTGACTTCAATAATTAAATGAGCATAAGAAACCCACATCTAAGAAAATTTTACTCGATATCTAAGAAGACGATAGATCCGCGTAATGAATTATCCTAATTGAGGCTATTAGTTGCGGTGACTTTATCCAGCAGTGGGACATATGTATTCTGAATTAGTTCACTTTGCTTAAACGTCATACTTTTTGCAACACGCTGAGTGTATCACAGCCTTAACCGCCCGGTGCGACATCGCCCTAACGTATGTTTTTCGTGTCACGTACATACTGACATCTGAGAGCGCACAGGATGTCAGGCCCAGCCCGTCGGGTCTGGCGCTCCATTTGAAAATGCCAAATTCAGTATATAAGGTGCGTGTGCGCTGGGCATTCGTCAGACAACATTCCTACTGCGGTCGAGACAGTACTCCAAAACTGCAAAGCCATGAAATTCCTCGTGAGTACATAGATAACAAAAAAATAAAACGAAAATAAAATGAACGCATAATGCGAGTTTTCTCGAGAGCTCTTTATGCTGTTTTGAAGGAATAGTTTTGACGAAAACTTTTTAATTTTGTCGAAGTTAAACCTGTCGAAATAACCACCTAATATTATGAATACATAATTTAATCGTTGTATATTATACATTGTAATAACAATTAAGATAATTGTTGTGAAAACTATTTCTGTAGAAAATTGAAAAAAGTTATAAAAAACTTTTGATATCCATCAATCAAATGCGCCACATAATTTTAAGAAATATGAATACATTTTCAATTACGTTTAATCCCTTTTAAACTTTTTCCATTATTTACAATTTTATTTTATTTCTGTGATTTGTTTCAGGTATTATTCGCCCTCGTGTCGGTGGCTGTGGCCAAACCTAAGCCTGGAGGCTGGAACCCATGGGATAATGGCGTAAGTTATCTATTACTGTAAGAAATTTTTTCTATATCCTACATGCCATTACTGTGGTAGAATTTACTATGGGGGGACACAATTCAGCTTCTAATGTTGCACTACGAATGGGCAGGCTATCCCGATAATTACTGCGGCCTCAAAGAGGACCAGCGTGAAATGGTATCATACTTTCACGTTTCGTCTGGTGAGTAAGGTAGCCGGGCCTACTTTTTAAAGGTTGTTAATGCATCTACAACCCCTATTTGTTGCAGATGTCTATGGTAATCACTTAACATCAAGTAAACCACCTGCTCCCTTGACGAATTTTAACACAATAAAAGGGTTTCTGTTCTAAATAAACAGTATTTCAGTGATATAAACCTGGATTGATAGTTTTTCTCCTAACTGTATTCGTCAAGTACTGATGATTGAAATGTGAGAAAAAAAACATTTATCCTGTATGAACGCATTATAGAGCAATAACATTATAATAATACTATACATGTTCTGCAAAACAAAACTATCTCTCCCATGTTAAAGTGGAATTTAAAAGCATACATTAGTTGCACATTACCCCTACTCATTAACGGTGTAGATGAATACTTGAACGCTGTCCATTTATTTGCACCTTACATACTACGTATTTTACATTCTCCGGGGCATGCGACCATAACTAAATGAATCCCAAAAACATAAAACTCATCGGTGCACGCCCCTTAGCTTCAACCCGAGACATCTACTCGATACTCGATTTCAAATCGTGAATTAACGAGAAATCCTTCGCAATAGCATAAATTACACCATGCTTAACGATTGACGCGTCGACTTGCTACCATACGTGGCTGATATGTCCATTCACTGTCTTGCGGACCAACACTGCAAATGTTGTTCTCATAAATCAATATTTCTCAACCTTTAAACAACTTCCTCGTGGGTTTTTTTTTATATAAGAGGGTGGCAAACGAGCTGGTGGTTCACCTAATGTTAAATGATAACCGCAGCTCATTGACATATGCAGCACCCGCAGAGTTGCAGATGCGTTGCCACCGTTTAATAAAGTCCTGTGTGTCCTTTGAGTAAAGGGCAAGTGGGCTCGGCTGAGGTAGCCAGGGCCCACTTGCCGAGACTCAACGTATGAAACGCAGAAGCGTAACACTTCTTCTTCACGCCATTCTACTGTGAGGTCATGGTACTTACCCGGACGGACCTGTCCATTCGTGCAACAGCGAAAACTGTTGATTGGCCGTAACACCGTTAAATTAACACTTTCATTGGTGCCCGCCACCGGCATTTAAGCTCGGGTTACTCGAATATGTTGAACTAAAAGCACCCTGACACTGAGCTATCGCGGCTCTCCTTCAGCATACAAACATAGTTCATAACCGCAGTTTAATTGTAACACAATATTCGATTTGTGCAGCTGTCCTCGCTGAGCCTTGTGCACCAACCTGCGGTGACAATCTCTCAGCCCACTTACACGGTAGCCCAGCCCGTTGTGCACGCTGCACCAGTTGTGCAGGCCGCACCAATTGTGCAGGCCGCACCAGTTGTGCACGCCGCACCAGTTGCGGTCGCCAAGCCCGCCACGAGCTACTCCTCCTTCCAACGGGTAAGTTAGAGCGATTAAAATTTGTAGAAAGGATAGACGAAAAGTTGTTTTTTGCTGCGGGAATCAAACCCGAGTCTTCCGGATTTGCGGCAAGACGCTTTAACCACTTAACTAAACGGCTGATTGTCACACCGACGAAAATCTGAATGTATAGCATGCATTCAGATTCTTACGTCTGCACGTTGTCTCGCATTTAATATTCGAGACAACGTGCATTATTTTTTTCGTCAATTTATTCTACAAATTTTAATGTAAATTATAATCAAATTCAATGTAGAGATTAGCACTATTGACGACCCGAATGGCGTAGTGGGTAGTGTACCTGCCTCCTGCGCCCAACTGGAAAAATATTATGTGATGAACATAGTGTTTTTCTAGTGTCTAGGTGTTTATATATGTATAATATGTATTTATTTACAAAAGAAAAGTATGTTTATCAGTTTTCTAGTACCCATAGTACAAGCTTTGCTTAGTTTGGGACTAGAGAATGTTATGTAAAAATGTGTCCTAAAATATTAAAATATTTAAAATATTTACTATTAAAATTTAAAAATTCCTAGTCTCAGATAAAAAACGAAATGATTTTTCTGTATTTAATAACGACAAACAAAAACTATTAGCGAACCATTCATTCAGACATTGAATATATTGTTAATGCATATATCTAAAGTATACACAGTTATATAATGAAGGTATGACACCTTTATTTATAATATTAAATCCAACTAAATTGGATGTTATATAATGTTCTATATAAAGTGTACACATCTTTATATATAAACATGCCTTCCGTAAGTTTGGATCAACAAAACTCATAAACTAGCCAAATGATTGACTTGATATTTGTTCACAACATAGATATTGAATTGGAGAGTGTTTATAAATACTCTTTATTTCAAAGTTTCAACGGAAACGAAAAAAAAACACAGCGAGGCGTGTTCTGCCGCTAACTGGATATAAAAAACTAAAGAAAAGAAATGCGTAATCTAAGTGGAGAAATGTAGAGTCAAACATTGGCTAGTGATGGTACAGGGCTACTACTTAGGTGCAACACTATTCCAGATTAAGTAAAGCAAAGTAGAGTCAATCGGTGGCTCACTATTCCAGATTATTCCAGATTTGCATCGCCACTTACCATCAGGTGGGATGGCAGTCAAGTGCTGGCCAGATGCAAATAACAAAAAAAAGATTAAGTAAAGCAAGAGTAGTAGTAGAAAAGTAGCCAATCAGTGGCTAGTGATTGTATTGATTTTATTTATATTATGGAAAACTCACAGCTACACTTACAGCAGGTTAAACATACAGCAATTAATATATAAATAAATAGAGAAGGGACAGCCATTTACAAGTTTTAGTAAATAGATCATATGGTAAAAACTTGAGGTAGGTAGAGATCACGATAAATAAAGAAGTGTAACAATAATAAATATATCACTTAATGAAACAAAAAAAAATACGCCATAAAACTAAGTGGGAAAATATTTGTTGGCCAATAGCTTCTCGAGCTGAGAATCGCTGGTAAAGTTTAAATCTGTTAGTATGAACGCATAAAGTTGCACTACTATTAAAATGAATTGTCTATTGTCAATGATGTATTTGTCTATACTCTCTCTCTCTCACCGACGCTCTGGCGTGTGATATCTTGTTTGTTAATCAAATCTAAAATTTTCTAACATTAAATACAGTTGAAATTATAATCAAGTGCTTTATTGATATACAACAAAATCAAATTCCAGATCGTGCATCCAGTGGCAGTAGCACAGCCAGTTGTGCACGCAGCACCAGTGTACTCGCAGCCGATTGTGCACGCTGTGGCCCAGCCCGTGGTGCATTCAGCCCCCCTGGTGCAGACCTACTCGCAGCCGATCGTCCAGAAGTACCTCTCCCTCGGCTCCTACGGCCACGGCTGGTAAGCCTGCCGGGTGCTGCGGTGTAACTGGGCGCGTTTGTAAATAATGTTTAATTACGATTATCGTTAAGCGTTGAGATCATGTCCGAGCTGTGGGCGTGGTGCAAATAAAGTATTTCTTAATCAAAAAAAGCGTTTCATTGCTTCTCTTGCAATCGTATGAGGCAGCAGAACGTAACCATCCGTATCAATATAAATTTTGAGTATAACATTGCAACCAACCTTCCATTGGCAACATAACAAGCACCTAATACTTTTCATTAATTTGAATGAACTAAAAGAAGTACAAATGGTTACTCCAAAAATAAGTATAAACAAATTAATATTCATACAGTTTGTTATAATATATATATTGGCGTAGTGGATAGTGACCATGTCTCTTGCGCCATTCGATGGGAGTTCGATACAAACTGCTGGAAAAATATTATGTAATGAACATAGTGTTTTTCTAGTGGCTAGGTTTTTATATACCTATAATATCTATTTATTTAAAAAAATATACGTTTAATTACGTTTATCAGTTACCTAGTACCCATAGTTCAAGCTTTGCTTATAAGTAGGTCTATACTTTTTTATATAGTAAAAAGAGTACCTAATATTAAACAATATTTACGTCAAATTTCATGGTAATAAAAAAATTTGGTTTGTAAATGATAGTGAATAAGAACAAACATTTTTAATAGTTCTAGAATGGTGAAATTCAATTTAATTGCCTTTATGACCCAGAATATTGACGTGGAACATTGCTTATCACAATTAATGTGTGTGTGTGTGTGTGTGTGTGTGTGTGTGTGTACTAGTATGAATATTCACACACACGACAACTATCTAAGCAAAACAGCGGCCTGACCTGTATAATATTTGTGCATGGATTACATCGATTTATGTAGTGTTGTGTCAGAAGTTTGTAGATGGTTTATTAGTATTTCGTTATTTTATGGTTTTCGTGAAACTTAAAGCTAGCATTTGAATGTTAAAAACTAAAAAAAATAGTGATGGGAAATTCGTCTTGTATTGATTTGATTTCAATTGTAAATATATGGAGACTAGAACTTGTATAAATGATTTCTAATTTGATAAGCAAGATAAATTAAGGAAATGACTGTTTCTTAAATAGTTTTTTTCAAATTTATTATGTTTATGTTGAAAAAATCTAATTCGGACTCGCCCAAGGAAGGATAAAACTTATTATAGTATATAGGCTTTACTATCTATTTAACACTAACAATGTATATAAATAATAATAGTAAGCCCAGTAAATGTTAGATTTAATGCAAGCGTCGATCACATTATTCAGTTCTTTTCTATTTTTATGGTCATATTTATGAGTAAACTATATTATTAAGCAAATTCCACTTTCGTATGAAATAAAGTCAATCATTAGAAGATAATACTAACACAATGTAATTTTCGAATTAAGCATACATAATTTTGAAATGGTTTATGATAATAGAAGTTTTTTGTTTCTCTCTAGTTCTCAAACATGACGTAGACTTCACTAAAAATCATTATTATCATATTATGACATTTTTTTTTTGTTTAAGTGCTGGAGCTCAAATGTTTTATCTATGATTTAAGTTTTTACGTAAATAATTTAATAATCGACAACCGTAACAACACTAGCGATCGCGTGCAGCTTGGAACATCCACCACAAGCGCTATCCTGTGAATCGAATCTAAATTGTGGTGACCACAAGTTAAGTTGACTTAGAAATAAATTACGGCATATACTGTTGCACCTACGTCACCTATGACATTGACGAAAAGGACACTAATACATCTGTTAGTGTGATCATTTTGATTACTGATTAATTTGAGTAAGATTATATTTTCATTAGTTACAATCGATATTTACTGCACCATTTCACTAACTGCCTATGCCTGCATATACACTTGCAGTGAATAATTTTCATAGATACGTCAAATGCGCAAAAACTATTCCAATATATTTAAAAGTGACTCAAAGAGTCACTTTTAAATATATTTGAATAGTGACTTTGAGGAAGCTCAAAGTCGCTCAGCGAGCTATGGAGCGGGCTATGCTCGGTATTTCTCTGCGTGATAGAGTTCGTAACGAAGACATCCGCAGAAGAACCAAGGTAACCGACATAGCTCAGAGGATTAGCAAGCTGAAGTGGCGATAGGCCGGCCATATAGCTCGTAGAACCGATAACCGTTGGGGAAGAAAGGTTCTCGAGTGGCAGGCTCGTACTGGCCATCGCAGTATAGGACGACCCCCCACTAGATGGAGTGACGACCTGTGCAAATGTGCGGGAAGTCGATGGATGCAGGTGGCTCAGGATCGTACTTCGTGGCAGTCTGTGGGGGAGGCCTATGTTCAGCAGTGGACTCAAACAGGCTGAAATGATGATGATGATGATTGAAAAGTGACTCTATGATATTAAAATTTAGCAGAACTGGATGGACGATAGCATAGCAACAGGTAAAACCTTTTCCCTTCAAGTAACTTTGGTACAGTAGTACAAGTGTAAATTAGGGATCTTCTCAACTTTAACTTTTTTTTCTTATTATAGATTATTTTATCAAACCAAAATACACAAAATACCATATTTAGAACAATAATATACATATTTAGTATGTCATATGTCACCTTCATAGTATAAAATGTCTCCGTCAAAAGCTCGGCTAACCAAATTACACACCGTTTCCTGGAACAGCTGTTTCAAGGTGTTCGTAGATTGAAATCTCTACCTTCGGACGAAACGAAAATTAGAACATATTGCGTGAGGACGAAAATACTTCTACAACATGAAAGAATAGTTTGAAGAGCGCTTGATCGTTTATTCTTACTAATGTAATGGATAATTATTTAGCAATAAATTTAAAGACGGTGAAGACTGGCACATCTTCTGTGCAGAATATTGCTTTAAGAACTGCTGTGCCTTTTTGATATTTGCACCTTTCTTCCTCTCTCTATCTTAAGATAAAGTAAAAATGCTACTACAATTTACTAATTTACTTTTATCCATTACTTTGTAACTGTAGTATTGTATTTGAATACAAACAAAACTATAGCCATGTATTATCTAAAATATGACAGTGATAGAATACAACGATTTGTCATCGAATACAAGTTAAGAAAACAGTACCAAACAATTGCATTCCGAAATATATACTGATTTAAATCATTTACATATCGTCGCATTTGTGTATCGAATAGTAATTTAACTTCATCTCTTAATAATGAATAAACTATAGGTCACTTTCTATCGCCATTAAAAAAATTTTAAGTTACATATTAATTATATATGACATTGACAGATGTTTCATAAGACGTACGTACCTACCTAAAACAAATACAGTGATAATGGGTATTGTACTGGAAACCTGTCCGACAAACACATATATCATGGCCACACTGAACAACACATTTCAGCTTTGCGCAAGCTTTCAGTGAGTCCAATGCTATGAAAGCGAACGCACATTTTCTGAGCATCCACAACATTTAGGAATGTTTTATTATTTCCTTAAAATTCGTTAATTTACGTTTATAATAAAGTGATAATATGACTGCAAATACATTAATATTACAAAGATTTGAAATAGTATGTAGATCAAAGATTCTATTGGGGTTCAGTTAAATATCAATAGAATATAGTATACAATTAAGTTTTAAAATTTGGTAAACTCTAAAAATGAACGCATGGCCAACGGAAGGTAGTGATGCTATGGGACCAACGGTAACACGTAAGTGATTATTACATCATATTAAGTTTAATCAAATAACTTCCTCTAAAACTTCTTTCATCGAGGTTGACATCAATAAAATCAAATTCATTTATGTTAAAAACTTAGTATAGTTTATTTATTAAAACTTGTAGAAAAAAGTTTATTTCATTATTTTTAAACACTTTCAATGAACATCATAAACATTTGAATTGTGAAAGAGTGTCAGTGTATTATAATAAAGAAAATTAACTTGAAAATTTATCATTTAGGATAAGTGACTGTTTTTTCAGCTTAGTGTTGTTAGCTATTGCTTAGTTAAGCCGATTTCGGCCTGATAAAAATCGGCCTTCCTAAGTGGTTCATAGAACATGTTCGGTTTATCCAGTCACTATAGCTATTTTTGTCTAAGCGTTTTAGAAAATATTATAGTTTAAAAATTACTATAAAAAACTGTAAGTTCATTGCATAGTTTATTAAGAAAATCAAATCTGTCGTTCGATAATCCATTGATCGCTACCATAGAGACAATTGTAAAAAAAGTTGTTCAACAACTAAAGTGCAAGATAAAAGATATATTTTATTGTGTTATTTTAATTTAAAAATATTTATTTTCACTGCGATCCCCGGCTTGCTAAGAAATATTTTATTATTCTTTTTATTTAATTAACATTGATAATGTTTTCAGTCCAATTTTTATGACTTCTTACTATATTTTAGTTATAAGTTAAAACTCATTATAAGAAAACTTTTCAAGTTTAGGTTAGTTCTTTTTAGTTCTTTTTAATTTTATAACAGAAATAATGCGATCGATCTACTCGACTTCTCAATTTAACGTATACAAATAGACAAGCGTGCTACTCTGCATTAATATATTGCTTGATTCATAGTAAAATAAATAACAATGTGATGTACAAAACTAATTGATAATAACATAAAAATTATTGATCGTCAAGTCATCGTGTTTGTAAAACAGGAAAACAATTTCGGAACAATACGGCTGATTTGATAGAGTTTATCTTGACTAAAATGTTTTTTATACCAAGAAAAAAAAAACTATTCTTCCCATGACAGCCTAAAAGCCTTTAAAAATCTAACATACGATTCAACAATCAAATATGGACAATATGGAATGCACAACTCATGAACATTTCTTTGCCCTTCTTTATCGGGGCCATAAATTGAATCGCTGAAGGCTCTGTTATTCAACTTTAACGTACAAAGGCACATTTTCAAATCAGGTATAATTTTCACAGTATAAAGGAAAAATAAGTAAATTTGTAAATATTCCAATTCCACTCCACTTCCCATGGCGCAGTTGCCAAGGTAAGTATTGGCTTCGGCGTCGGTGGTCGTGGGTTTGATTCCCACGCAGGACAACTATTTGTGCGACCCGCAGGATCGCATCTGGATGTTTGTTCATGTGAAATTTGTGTTTGTAAAACTTCCCTACATCACAGTTTAATGTTATCATAAAGTGAGGGCAGTGTTTTTTTTAAATAAGGAATAAGTAATTCATAACATTTAAGTTTATATTGTAAAATAAGCAATTAACTGCGCGGATTGTGCAATGGCAGTGTCGTGGGTTAGAATTCGAGTTGCTCTGAAACTGGATGTAATTTGCGTACGTGATTGCATGTTTACGGAAACACAGGCTAATGAATTATCAAGCAATGTTTTCCTACGCGCAACCTCTTGTATTGAGGACAGTGTAAAAAAAAACAAAGGAAAAAAAAACAAAGGAAATCAGGACATCCACCATGCGGCCTCACTGCGGATTGGCAAACTTCACATATTTACGATTTTTTTTATTATTTCGAAAATATGCAGGTTCTCTCGCGATGTTTTCCTTCACCGCAGAGCACGTGATAAGTCAGCACTTAAAATTAACAATTTCATTGGTGCCGGCACCGGGGATCAAACTCTGGTTGCTCGAGTAAATTTAATTAAAGGCAAGCGCCCAGACACTGAGCTATCGCGGCAGTGTAGAATGTTTTTGTATGTGTGTATGTAGTTACCACACATCTAGGCCTATTGCAAATTCAAACCAGTTTCACCTTCGTAACTCGCGAAGTCGCTAATGCTCTGATAGCATTAATAAAATTAACGGCAGCAATGTAAGTGCATTACAATTTCTCAAGTCGTTATAACCACATTAAGGGCGGTTCATTTCTGATTTGTGCAAACGAAAAACCATCACACCGTGCGGTAAGGGTGGTGTAACATTCGCCAGTAGAAAATGCCAGTGGGACATCTTGAACTATGACAGATGATAGGTTATTAAGAGATTACATGATAGATCATTAGAGAATGCGGCGTCAATTTGATGAAATCTGTCAAGATAATAGAGGGAAAATTATAAATAATAAATAAATATTACAAGACATATTTTTAAACAAGGTAGCCTTGTTGCCTTGTAGTGCCAAACTAAGCTTGTACTAGGTAACTGATAAATATACTTGAACAAACTTTTCTTATGTAAAAATATTCATTTCTTCAAATATTCATTTTCATATAAATACATATAAGGCTTTGAAAATATTTGAACATCGGAAGTGTATTTTAATCCAAATTTAATTAGAGGGAAAGCATACAGTTGTTTACGAAACTATATTTACGTCAAAACATTTTACCTCATTAAAAACCTGACACGATAATACGATTCCACGTAGGTACATTCACTGAATAGCCCCTCTATTCAATGATACATTCATTGAATAGAGGGGCTATTCAGTGAATACTAATATAACCTTTTTAAAATGTGTAGATGCAATTTATGAATTTTTTTTTATCGCCGTTGCCAGGCTCACAACTCAACATCTTTTCCCATTTGAAAACCAACTTAAGTTTCATCTTGCGTGCGTCTTGACTTCATTTAAAAAAACTTCTAAATTTAATCTTTATACAGATAAGTACATCGGCAAGGAAAGGTACATATATTTATTCGGTGGTAGAGCCACGCAGCAGCCTCGACTGTTGCACGAATGGGCAGGCCCGTCCGGGTAAGTACCACGACCTCACAGAAGACCAGCGTAAATTGGAAGTATGACAAATACTTTCGCGTTTCGTCTAGTGAGTGAGGTAGCCGAAGCCCACTTTCCGAAAAGGTTGTCAACGAATCTGTAACCCTCGGGTGTAGCAGATGTGCATTGGTGGCGGTATTCACATACCATCAGGTGAACCGTCTGCTCGTTTGGCAACTTTTCACATAAAAAAAAATTCGCACTATATTAACTCCTACATGGCTGAAGGATAATTTATTATTTATGAAAGTTACTTATACCATTTTCTTAACGTATCTTTTATGTGTGTGCACGTGTTTCAGAAAATATGGTACATATAATCCTCGCGCAATGACTTTTGAAAAAAAAAATATTTTCTCGCGCTATTGTTGTGGCTGGATGAATTGGTTGTCTTATTTCTGAATTTATGTAACAATTCAGAAATAAAGTTGGATTCTTTTTCCAAATCACTGACGTTTATTGCAGGTGCGGTCAGTGCGATATCGTGTCAACCACCCCTGAAAAATGGCGGCGATTTACGGGAGACTGGGTATTTGATAGCCGTTGGGTCTAGAACAGCACGGTAAATTAAATTATTTAAACTTTAGCCAAGTGGTCGACCATAACCATTATTAAAAAAATTATGTAATTTTTTTTATTTTACATAATTCTTTTTCTGCCCTCATACATCGAGACCATACACTGATATGTACTTACAATAAAAATTACTCCATTATAAAAGTAGGGAAAAAAGCTATTTCAAAGAAAAGTTATTCATGAAACAAAATAGAACTGTTTTAAACGGTTTTATTTAGCTCGACCCGTACGGAATTTATTTGTTTATTTGGGTCAAAATTAGAAATAAGCACCTTCCCGTTGTCAGATTGATCTGAAATTTGGTACACACATTTAATTTAGATGACAATACAATATTGTAGTTTTCAGTGCACATAAAATAAAACCGTTTAACTTAAAAGTTTTTAAACGGTTTTATTATAAAAGTTCTTCCTAAAACCAAACTCATTTTGTGATTTTATTTTACAGCTGCAAAATAAAACACTTACGGCCGGTTTCTGAAACACTGATCATCGTAGATGTCAACTAATCAGCTCAAATGGCGTTTCAAAAAGTTTAACCATCCTTTTGGCAACTCAAATGACATTTGAAACGCCATTTGACAGCTGATTAGTTGACATCTACGATGATCAGTCTTAGAGAAACCGGGCGTTAGTTTTATATTTACTACGATTAATAAGTATATAATATACTCAAAGTACAGATCGAAATCAGATGTTTAAAGGGTTCGATAGTCTTATTGAATCATATTGTTGAAATAAACTGTTTTGTCGTATCACTACATAGTATAAAACAAAGTCGGCCCGCTGTTTGCCTGTCCCTATGTATTCTTAGATCTTATAAACTAGGCAACGGATCTTGATGCGTTTTTTTTACTAGATAGGAGTTAGTTACAGATTAAAGTGGAAATTTTATATGTGTAATAAATACATTGCACCCATACAACAACAACTGACGTTTCGAATAATTTGCAAGTATAATATGAGACGGACACTTAAAATCTGGCTACTGTACTTTTAACGTCATGTGAAACAAGATAACAAAAGAGTTTCTTTAATTTGATTAAATTACAATAATAGCATTATTTACAATATAAATTTGAACTAAATTACATGAAATCTAATAAACTAGTCAACTCGGTGCCAAGATCGCTAGCTGCACCTGAATAGTTTTGTTACCTTTGACCGTGAACAGAACCAGCCCTCTTGCTACCAGCCGCGGTGATAAATCTGTTTCTTTCAATGTTAAGCAGACTCACTGCTAAAGGAGTATGTGAACTAGTTAATGTATTATTACAGGTTTAGAAGGAAACATAGGAAAAAGTTGTTATGGATAGTCCTCCTAATCCTATTAATATTAGCTGTCCTGAACCTAGCACTCCTAATATACTGTAAGTATTTTTAGCATCGACTAAATTACGTATAATTGTAAAAAAATATTCTATAAACAAAGGTTTTCATTTGATGTTTGTCATTATTAGTTATTTTTTGATATTTTCTCGACAACAACATGTCAGTAACATACAGTTCGAATTTTAAAAAATCTTCTCTGTCATTAAGTCACTCGACGGTTACGAAAGCAACCAATAGAAATCTGCAAAACCAAGGAATGCCTCCGATCAGCCGCCAACCTGGCACTCTCCATCGACGATACCGTAAACCCTTGTAACAATTTTTACCAGGTAAATATAGTGTAACAATTTGTATCAAAATGTGTTTGTAAATATAAAGTAAAACATATTGTATAATTTGTGTAACGCGATGCATTAAAATAAAACGAACACTACAGGGAGCATTTGTGGCATTTAATTTTTTGCTTCTAATTTGTTTTGTAATAAGAACAATCTTTTTTAATAAGCTTTTACTTTTACTTCACTACTAATTTCGTTCATTATATTTTTACATTACTTTCTATTCATTATGATGTAAATGATTTATGAATGTTATTTAATACTAAGTTTGATTTTTAACCTGCCAGCCATTTTTGACAACGTAGCCGAATTAATTGTTGCTTTCCTAGTTTAATGATAAAACAAAAAAAATAGTTCCAAGCGTTCGTTTGACAATCCTCCCCTTTTCTACGCTTGCAAAGATAAAATTTAGTCAGAATCGCAAACAGTCTGAAGATATCAGGGTTGATTTATGTAAACAGTACTCATGCGGCAAGTGGGCTGAATCCCACCCGAGGCCCGACGCGTACCGCTCGTACGATTGGTTTAGAGACAAACAGACAAAAGTGTACACAGCTGTAAGGGACTTCTTCGAAAGGAAAGAAGCATTGAATACGACACAATATCCTAAGCCAGTACAACAAGCAAAGGACATGTATACGGCCTGTATTGACGTTGGTGAGTTTGCATAATACGAGTAAAATACCAAATAATTCTCCGCTGGTAACACTTGAAAGCGTACTTAGAGATTGCATTGCATAGGTAGGATAAAGTGATTTTAATTTAATTGTTTCAAAGATTTCATTTCAACTTTATTAATTGCATCTAAAGTATAAACTGTTTCGTAAATGGTGGTTTTTTTTTTTTTTAAATTGTGATAAAATTAAAAGTAGCGGCTGTTGCTACCCACTTAACGGCTAAATCCAAAACAATTTTCTCATAAAACGTATAAAAATTAAACGTGTAAAAATATGTATAAAAAATTATCCGCCTTCAGAAATGCATCATTACTTTCATACTAAAATATTAAATTCAAGGATATGTGCGGTTTCAGAAACGTTGGACATACGAGGGCTGAATCCAGTTCTGGACGTTTTAAAAGAATTGAGACTACCCGTTTATCCAACACTTATTAACCTAACAAATGATGTGGATTACAACAACTATACGTTTGATTGGCTTGAAGCCGTAATTAAAATTAAGAAAAATCTGGGTATGGACGTTCTAATTGGATTTGATATTTTCGCTGACACAAAAAACTCCTCAATATACCGATTGAGTATGGGCTCACCGGAAACTACAAATCCATTTCCGAGGTAAAATTGAATAAAAAGCGGACTTCTCTTTTAAAAATGGGTTCAGTTTCCGATTTGGATGATCTTTCAATGATTTCACCAATATTACAGCATGCACAACAAGAGAAAACGTCATAAAAGAAGAAATAAGGCGAAACATTCGAATTTCTTTCGATCGAGACAATCTTCAAGGGAAACGAAATTTATTTCTGCCAAAGAAAATCATCGTGAAAACATAATTGGTGACGATACTGAGGAAGTTTACGAAAAGATAGATGAAACATATAAAATATTTTTCGCTCGACTGATGAAAATTTTTGTTTTAAAATCTGAGAACTTTAAAAATATCAATATTTCTGAGGCAGAGTTAGATAGCAAATTATTAGTGACGTCTAGTGCATATTATGATTTCGATGAATTCATTTATCACGTAGGTTACTGTGTACTACTTTCATATATAATCTCTTTCTTTACTTATTAGGCAATAAAAATCTTATGTTGTGTTGTGTATGTATCAAAGCGTACATGTTATGTGACCTTAGACACCTAGCATTGCCTATCTCCCAAAGAAATAGAGGTAAAACTTTGAAATTATTAATCTTGTCATCACTCAGCCTGCTACTTACATTATTCCTTTCACTAATAATTAAGTATCTTTATGCAATATTTGATTTAATTTGTATATTTTTAATGAATAAATGAATTTAATTTGTAGATTAAGAGACTTAATGAAACGGATATAGATGAAGAGGAATATTTAGACTTCCCCGAATATACCGTTGATGAAATCCAAATGCGTACTGATGCCATTGTAGAAATGAACAACGGTACTGCCACTCCCATTTGGAAAAGATATTTGAAAGGTGTATTTAACATAACTGACATAGAATTAGATTTCGAAAAGGATAAACTATTGCTTTCTGAATACGACCTGAAATATTTGTCATTGTTGGCTGTTTATTTATCGCAAGCTTCCCCTGCTGCGATAGAGCTATATATATGGACTAAGGTTGGTATATTCGAAGATATCCTCATTTTACGAGTCTGTTACTTCTCTGCTTATAAGAATTCAAATAATAAAACTTGTACGTGATTTTAAAAATTATTTGCTTCAATCGTTCGAATGCAGTACCTACCTTAAAAATTAATTAACTCCATATGATACTAATGAAAGAAAGGACACATTCTTAAACCAGTAACATCGGTGATGGTCCACACAGCCATGGTGGTCAACCAGGAAAGTACTAGCGTCACCAAGAAACCTGTCTGAAATTACAATATAATTCAAGAATTACTTTGACGACACCCAAGTCTATTGCCTAAGAATATACGTTTAGACTAATTTTTTCGCCAAGCTAACGCTGATTAAAATATTCTTGCTTAGGTGGTCGACGTACTGGCAATACACACGACTTCGGAGTTACGTTCTGTATTCGATAAATTGTATGTTGATTTGGGTGAAGCCTACAACACCGCCGAATCCTCACCATCTCGAAGCCTAAGATGCGCCAGTGCCGTAGACGATATGCTCGGTATGGCTGTCGCATACGTCCTAGCTGATCCCAACTTTGTTAAAGCTACCAAGCCTAAGGTATTTGAAGTGCTATTTAAAATCTTAACATCTCTTTATATTTGTAATGTTACACATTACTCCTTTCGTTAAACTTGGCGCAATATTTTCAAAATGAACTTCATATAATTTTCGATCACAAGAGTGTGAGTGTGAAGACTGTTATATGGTTTACTGAAAATATTGCTTACCTACCTTTTATTACAGAAGATGAAGGGTGCCAATGTTGTTAAATTCGTGTTATTCATCGATTTATTTACACTTTAACACATGAATGACATATTAATGCATTATATTGTATCATGTATACAGTGTACATAATTTTGCACCATTAAAAGCCTAAAATTTTTCTCCATTAGCATACCGATCATTATTTCTTTACATTTGTTACCTCCACCCTTGGCCTACTAAGACTTGAATATAAATTTGGTGCGGAACTAAAAGCTTTTACAATTACCTCCCGAAATCGCCATAAACAATTTAAACGGCATTTGAATGCCGTTGAATTGATGGTAATATAACAGCAATTAATGAGCCGGTTTTTTCAGATCCAAGTAATGCTTAAAGAACTGAAAAACGCTCTAGCCCACTTAATCGGCAAAACAAAATGGATGGACGACAACACGAAGCTAGAAACGTATAGAAAGATAATCGATATGAGAACACTCATAGGTTTCCCTGATTGGTTGATGGAGAGGGGTAAGCTGGAAATGTTTTACGAGGGGGTGGAGGTGAACAAGGAACACCACCTTGAAAATATGATCAACGTGGTGCAAGTCAAAATCAAGAAAGCCCTCAATGGATTTCGAAAGGTCCACAATTATAGCGCATGGGCAACTAATCCCACCGAAGTGAACGCATATCACACCTTTCAAAAGAATACAATAAGTAAGTACGTAAACCTATTAAGGGTTACTTGAAGTGTAAAAAGATGTGGCGATGGCTTTCTAGCTACACACGCAAAAATCTTCCAAACATAACTTTTCTTTTTTCTCATTTCCGACGTTTAAAATGTGCTTCTCTCATGAGGAATTTTGTCACATAGTATTACAGAATAAGTTTCGTTCATTACTGGAAATAAATTGCTTTAGCTTTTATATAACCTTTAAAATTTTAACAAATTCAAAAAAAAATTGTGCCTCCCAACTCTGGACGCAGCTGTTCCTATGGTTATTTTACAATATCCTTTTTATGACTTGGGGCTTGAGTGAGTATCTTATAATTGTATTTTTTTAGTTTCTTAGTTGTGCTTATCTCAATACAATCTGAAGGAAATAGCGTGATTTCAAGAGAAATATACCCAAAGAAAAATGATTGCATTTTAAGTATAGCAATTCACAGTATACACACATATTGAAACGAATTCCAACATTAGTTACAAAGGTTTACCTATAGGTTATTTTTTTGTCGTGTATAATCTAATAAGGCATTAAATTTAAATAACTAAAATTAGCGAGTAGGATATTAAGACATATTATTAAAAGGAGCGAAAAAAGTTGACACTTTTTGTTGTGTAGTTATCGTATATATAGTGCTGTCTTATTATTCAATGCTTCATAATAACTTAATTACAAAATAGAATGCGATAAGAAAGCGATATGTGGGCTTCGACATGCATCTTTCTAGATCCGTCGTGATTTCATTCAAGTTGAAGTCACAACATCTTTATTTTTCTATTTTTGGAAACTCGAGGAAAACTGAAATTATAATTTTCACTAAACGTTGTCGAATGATATTTTAATATATTAATTTTTACAGTTCCCTTAACTATGGTGCATTAGGAACGATATTGGGTCATGAAATTACTCACGGCTTTGATAATTACGGTATGTATGAGATTTATTATTTGTTGATTTATTACTTAGGAATTTATAAACTTTTAATTTAAACAAAAGGTTTTTTAAAAGAGCAATAACAAATTCTACGCGCTCACGTTGTCTATAATAATCTGTATCCAATAATACTTTTACTTAAATGCTTGCCATGCCTTTTCAACAACCTTTCAATTGTTTTTATTTTTCAACATATAGGCGCTTTCGCGTTCTTATGAAACGTCAAAAAAAAACTAATCGTTATCTTTATCATAAACATGTCTCTAAAAACTGATGTTTGCAATCCGATACAATTTTCATGGTTCCAGGTCGTTTGTTCGATAAGAACGGCAATTTCATACCGTGGTGGACAAATCAAACGATCGAGTTATACGTAAATATGACACAGTGCTTCGTGGAGCAGTATTCCTCATTCTATGTTCAAGAGCTTGATGCCCATGTACGTATATGGTTTCTTTACATTCCGTACTATTATCTACAAAAACGGCAAAAACTCATGTCAGTTGTATGGGAGCTCCACTTAAATATTATTTTATTCAGTTTTTTAGTATTAGTTGTTATAACGGTAATAGAAATAAGTCATCTGTGAAAATTTCAACTATCTGACTATCAAGAATCATAAGATACAGCCTGGTGACAGTCGAACAGACAGACAAACAGACAGCGAAGTCTTAATAATATGGTCCCGTTTTACCTTTTGCAATACATTTTACATACACAAGTTTCATTTGGATGAGCACTCACAACCGGTGAAATTATCTGTGGGTAACCCGGTGACGGTGATTGCTGCTTGTACGGATTGCCAGGCTCGTCCGGGTAAGTACCACGACCTCACAGACGACCGGCGTAAAGTGGAAGTATAATACTTTCGCGTTTCGTCTACTTAACATCAGGTGAATCACCTACTCGCCTGGCAACTTTTAACATAAAAAAATCAAATTTCTCCTGAGTGGGAGTTGAACCTACGACTTGCTTAAGCTTACCGAAAATGTCTAAGCTTATCAATTACCCAACTGGGTCATCACAACTTTACTATCACCTTGATACTAAGGCACCATGCCTTGACCAGGTTTTATGCTAATAACAAGATGATTAAAACGAACGACACGTTGATAATTTAAATAATGTAACTATTCAAACTTAATTGAGTTTAAGCTTAATAAATTATTAATATTTTTTCATTGAAAATAAAAGCGTCATTTGAGAATAAATAATGGCAATGCTTACTACTCATGTAAGTATAGCAATCAACGAAAGATATATAACCGCTATTGGGGTTTCAGAATTGTAGACATTTCATGGGGCTTAAAAGATGTATTATTTTAACATTAAAAGCCGTAAAATCAATTAAGCGTAAAGAAGAATAGTGATGCATTTATAGTTGTGAATTTCTTTTTGCGTTTTTCTCGGCTAAGACGTGAATTCTCCCGAAATTGTTCTTTTGCATGTCTCATTTTACGACTCCCATTTGCTATGGTTTCTTATTATTTTCTTTGTTAGTAATAAACATCCTAACTCAAATACGTCAATACTTTTTATTTGATGCTGAATAAAAGAACTAAAGTACTAGGCTGACATAAATTACCACAGGTTAACGGCAAAAACACGTTGGGGGAGAACATTGCCGACAACGGCGGTGTAAGAGAAGCGTTGGTTGCACTGAAACACCATCTATGGAAATATGGACCTGAGCCGAAATTACCCGGCTTCGAACACCTGACGCCAGAACAGCTTTTCTTTTTGTCCTATGGAAACGTGAGTTTCAAAGTATAAGTTTTTCTTTATTTGATAAAGTGGCAAACGAGCTGGTGGTTCACCTGATGTTAAGTGGTAACCGCCGCCTATGGAATTTTGCACCACCCGTAGGGTTGCAAAGGCGTTGCCACCTTTTAATAAAGTGGGCCGTTTACCTCACTCACCAGACGAAACGCAGAAGTGTAATGCTTCTACTTTACGCCGGTCTTCTGTGAGGTCGTGATACTTATAAGGACGCTGCCCATTCATGCAACAGTGAATACTGTTGAGTGGCCCTACCATAGTTAAAAAATTGCATTCATCGTTATCATCATTTCAGGCCGTTTTTCCACTGCTGGACATAGGTCTCAACCACAGTCTGCCACGAAGCACGATCCTGAGCCACCTGCATCTATCGATTTCCCGCACATTTTTACACGTCATTACATCCAGCTTTGGGTACGTCCTATACTCCGAAAGATCCTGATCAGGATAATGGGAAAATCTATTTTAATTATTGCATTGTCATGGGGCTTTGACGATTGTGCAAAGTTTAAATCAAATCTGATCATTCAAAGTGGGGTTGAAATCACATTTGAATATTCTGTTAGATTCATACATACATAAAAACAGGTGAAAGTAATAAAGGTGTATTGAGAAGAAAAATGTCTAAAAGAAACAGTACCTTTAACAAAAATATTTTACGTACTCTTTCTAGCTATGGTGCGGAGTGGCCACCAAAGACGCGTTAAAAGCTGACTTGGAAGACGAGCATTCGCCGCAGATTTTTAGGGCAATAGGCAGTCTGCAGAACATGGAGGATTTCGCAAGAGCCTGGCAGTGCGCTCCAGGATCAAGCATGAACCCCAAGAAGAGATGCGTAATATTCTGAAGGATTTCTACACAAATGTCTAAGTATTAAGATATATATAAGAGAAAATGAAACAATATACACGCACATAATGCGTTAGAATTATGCAATACAGAGTGCCCTAATAACTAGGGATTACCAACTAGTCAAATGCGATGAACTTGCTGATCATGAAGATATTTTTATGATAGAGCCTACAGTGTAACACTTAAAATGATTAGACTTCATGATAAATATAGCTGTTTAAAATTAAACTTTCATCAACTTCATCGATTATACCTACAACAAACAGTTGATCGTGACTTATTTTTAGTAATATATTAAGGAAAAAATTGTTGGCCATCTTACCCTAAGTTATCTATGTACAATCTCACGTCTAATCTCGCTCTGTAGGCGTTTATTCCGTCCTGCTACCGTCCTATTTTAAAAATAATATGAGACCTGTAATCCACGTTCCTAAAATTTTATATTGGAAGATAAACCAAACATATGTTACATCTATTCCGAAATATACATATATTTTATTAACATTAATGTACATTTTCACTGTCATTTTAAGGTGACTTGCCTTCAAATAATAGTGAGTGAATTTTAATGTGGAAGGGTGTCTGAGATCTATAGTTACCCTTTACCACCGAATATTCAAAAATTCACAATAAAAAAATAAGGGTCATAATTTATGAAAACTTAAACATAATTTTCATTTAATACGTACCAACAAAAGTGTTGTGACACGTATTTATAAGATATTTAATGGTATATATAATTGTGATATTTAAATGGAATTCAATTTTTCAGATTTTTAATAAACATACAAGTCATAGAAACTAAGTATTAATATTTTCCGTGTTTTTTATTTAGAAGTGTGCAATATTTTAAAGATTTATAAATAAAGTTTGAATATTACATGATGTACAAATTCATTCCCAAAATTCCCAGATTCCATCAATTGAGATTTAGATCCTTATAATTCCGTTTTTACTGTAAAAAGTCAAAATATTTTTTATGATCTCCCTCATTTCGAAAATATTAAAAATTTATTTAATATTTATCAACATGATCATCACCATCATTTCTGCCTGTCCAGTCCACTCCTGAAAAACAGCTTCCCCCAAAGACACCACGAAGCACGATCCTGAGTCACCTACTCGTACATCTATTTCTCGCACACTTGCACAGATCGTCACTCCATCTAGTTGGGGATCGTCCTGGCCTTCCTTCACCATCGGAAGATGATTTGAGGAATCTCAAAGTCACTCATATTTATATGGTGCAATAATTATTCATTGATAAAAGGAACACGTAATTTAGTCATAGAAAGTAATCTTGATTAAACGTTGGAGAAAAGGTAAATATTGTTAATTTAATAGTATATTTTAATTTGATTTATAATCATAGATAATTTTATTCATAATTTTTTTTTATTCAGTAAAAATATTGATACTATTATGAAACAATATCAATACATTTAAATTGCAGCAAAAGGTTATGCGAATAAAATAAAACAACTCGGTTTGGTTCAATCATTTATTCAGAATAATATTACAATGTTGCAATTCAACTTGTACGAAATCTCATAAGAACAAACTTATCCTAGTGGCTACTGTGGATGACAGAGCTGGGGTAGCTGGTGGAGATCACTTTGGATACGCCGACCGAGTGGCCAAGACCCGATACGCTGGACAAACCGTAGCCGTGACCGCCGCCGTAGCTCAGGGACAGTCCTGACCCAAGACCGGAGGAAATGATCCCTGAGCTGAGACCGGAGTGTACCCCAATGCCGTAGCCCGAACCGTAGCCAGAACCGTAGCCTGATCCGTAGCTCACGCCAATTCCGGAGCCGATGCCTAAGCCAGATCCGATGCTCACGCCGGATCCAATGCCTACGCCGGATCCAATGCCTACGCCGGATCCAATGCCTACGCCGGATCCAATGGCTAGGCCTGATCCAATACCGACACCTGAACCGATGCCCACTCCCGATCCAAGAGCGACACCCGAACCGATGCCTGACGATACGCCAACGGAGGACACGGCGGGCGCGACGGCGACAGCCGGCACAGCCGCCACAGCCGGCACCGGCACTCTCCTCTCAACAACGACGGGCTGTGGCACAGGCACGGGCCTGTCCACTTGCACGGGCACGGGAACCCTAACCGGACGGTCTACGTAAACTGGGTGCGGAACGGGCACTTGGCGGTCGACGTACACCGGCCTGTCAACCGGCACCGGCCTGTCCACCGTAACCGGGTACGGCACGGGCACCGAGACGGGCACCTTCACCGGGTACGGCACCTTCCTCTCGTAGTAAACGGGCACCTGCCGGGTGACCTCGACCGGCACCTTGTGTACGACTGGGTAGGGCCTGTCGACCGCCACGGGCACCGGCACTCGCACCGGCACCGGCACCTGCCTGTCGACCGGCACGGGCACGGGCACCTGGACGGGCACCTGCACGTCGCGGGTGATCGTCCTGGTTATGTATCTGGGCACTTCCTGGCGGAGGATGACGGGGTTTGGCTCGACGGCGACCGATGTTTGGACTCCGGCCGGTGCGACGGCGACGGCTGGTCCGGCTGCAACCGCTCCGCCGACGGCGATTGCTGGCCCGGCAGCAATGGCTGGCCCAGAAGATACTGCTATAGCGGGACCGGCGGAGATCGCCGCTCCGCCGCCGATGCCGGATCCAATAGCTATTCCGGAACCGATGCCGATGCCAGAAGAGATCCCCAATCCCGATCCGGATGAGACGGATATGGCCGGGCCGGCTGATATCCCACCGATGCCTATTCCCCCGCCGTACCCGATTCCACTGCCGATGCTAATGCCCCCGCCTAAACCGTGGCCCAACAAAGAGCCGTGGCCCAACAAGGGCCCGTAGCCGGTCGATATGATGCCTCTCTTCACGCCCTTAACTGAAGTTCCCTCCTTGATCCCATTTTCGAGCAGCTCTGAAACTTTGGATTTTTCCTCGATCCGCTTGGCTGTTGACAGACTGCTGCACACCAGCAGCAACTGAAATGAGAAAGAAAGATGTGCTTAATTTACGTCAATTCGCTCTTAAACTGCGAAACTTAGATTTTGAATCTAGACTTTCAACAGGTAGCCGTTCCACATGGCTTTCAGTTAAATAGCTTTTGCTAAAGTTAAATAGCTGACTTCGAATTTCATAAAAGAGATAAACTTACAGTACAGATAAAGGTCCAATTTTTATTCAATAGCAGTTTTTTTTATATGTACTCAAACTTTAACTCTAACTTTGCGTAACATCTTCTGTTAAGTTTTAACAAATGTTACAAAAACATATTAAATAGAAAAACGGTAGATTAAATGGTATATATAAATAACGTGTTCTACGTAACCCTATGAGCTAATATTTTATTAATTTTCGTATTAATACTTATTTTTAGGACTCAACGTTAACACCCGGTTTGAAGATCATTTTACTCACAATATTCCGTGTGAAATTAGCAATGGCGGTGGGCTGTCATTGAATGAGTATTTAAAGGTTGACACGAAACCTCAGAAAAAGAATACCTCACAGTAAAAAACGCAATCTATCAATCTATTAATAGATTCAATTTAGATCAAGGCTGGTTACTCTAATAAATCTTTACACCCTTCTGTTTCAAGCTAGCAGGTGTATAACGTTTAGTGTTGTTGGTCTGTACGATAAATGAAATAGTATCGTTTTCTGTTATGAGTTAATTTAACTTTACTTAAGAATTTACTTAATTTGAACACATAAGCATTTAATAATTAACTCGACGATGTTTAACTGTATTAAAACCTTTAACAAAACAACTTTATGCGTCAGTTTTGTAGGAATACTTTTTAGAAACCTTAAATATTCAAAATACAATTCTGGAACAAATAAAATATAGTTATTCGGCTTAGTTCATCATGACCTGCGTCCACGGGGACAGTCATACGACAATTTGCAAGATTCTCACTTCTTTAATTTAGTCTATCAGATTTTAAATACAAACAATCATACGCAAATCAAAATAACGTTAATGTGTAAGTTAATAGAAGCATAGAATTATTCCTTGGTTTTCTCCCCATTGCGGAGAATAGCCAAACTAGAGCAATGCGGTTACCCATTCTAGCTTGGCGAGCACTGAGGGGTCAAGGTTTGACTTACGCAATACTTGAGTCTAGATAAGGCGCAGGTAACTTTTTATGAACAAAACCTATGTGTTATACTATACAATCGAATTTAATTGTGTTAGTCAGACTAAGCATTTTATTGTCAAATTTTTGAAACTGTATGCGTCTGTCTATCTCGGTAATAGCCCAATTACCGAGTGAAATAAAGGTAATAATTATGTGCGTAGTTACTGCCTCAATGAGCGCAAAGGATATCGTTTGGCGGTATGTTGCCTTTGATTAGCCCTGTCAAGCTATTTATGTTTAACAAATTAAAACATTCCAACCGTAAATAACATATAAAAGGGGCCCTATAATTGCACCTTGTGCAATACTCCCAATCAAGATTCTAGGCGGTCCTCGGATATGGACTTGCAACTTGCCGGTATTAAATTATACAACCTAACGCACGCTCCAAATTAGAAAGACAGTAGTCCCTTAACGGGAGTTATGAATTATTCATACACGCAAGTGCTAGCCGATATTTGTAAAATTTTACGATGACTTATTAAAGCGAGGCGTTTCAATTAATTAAGTTGTATATTATTCTTCTGACATAACTAAGTTGCGATGAAAAGGGAATTGGAGAGAGCTTCGAGACGATACTACTTACTCATTGAACACAAAGCCTGTAGAAAGGATGGTGTGAGAGTAACTTATGAAGTAAGCGAGTGGAAACTGTTATAAAAGGCGGTGTAGTAACTTTCATACCAAAAAGCTAATTATACGCTTATCGTAAGAACTAAATTGTACCTAACCTGAAAGCCTAAAACGTTAGAAAGATCTATATATATTCTCATCGTGTCCTATGCTAACTATAATAGCATACTCGTAATATGATGTTGGGCGACTGGCTACTAAATGTAGTGGCCAGCTTTAGTCCGACGCTAAAGACTGACGATCATCATAGTTGGCTATGTTTTTCACGACCGGCCGCCTGCCTGACGTCAACCCTCCTTGGGAAACACCCATATCCACAATTATTTATCCCCTAGGAATCGAACCCACAACCCCCGAGAAGCCATTACCTTAGCAACGGCTCCATCGAATAAAAGGACTGACGAAAATACTAAACTCTTTTGTGGTGACTTAAAATTAAGTTGCTTAGGTTGCAATTGAACTTCCATCAGTATGACATGGTCTTTTTAATAGAGATATTATTCGATTATTTACGTATAACACTATGAAACTTAAATACATTTACAAACAGAATCTTGTGTGTTGTCAGTTTGTAAACAGAATCAAAAAGCTCCATTACGTTAATTTCGTCCCGTGACAGACATTAATTCCTCGATATTAAAATTACATGTTTCAAATTGTCAATGTTTTCCTTTAAATTACGAGCGAGTCTCTATGGCTTTTTTCATGAACCAGTTTGGATTGTGCAATCAAAATAAAGGCACACCAAACGCTTAGTACAACCTGCCAATCTAATAACAAATTTCGCGTTTATCGACCTACTCATAAGGATATTTCATTCTAATATATTTATGCTTTATTACTTCTTGGAACAGTCATCGCAGATTGAAAATATCAAAATTAACAGTATACAATTAAATGTTTTAAAGATTTTTTTTAATAAATGCTCTTATAACTTCAATTTTAAATAATTTTAAGTATTTATAAGTAACTTATATGAATTTAAAAAGTTTAATTATTTATTTTCACCTAATGACTCAAGAAAGCCTTAATATTTTATCCTCCAAAATCTATCATTTCCTGACGCGTTTTACAATTTACACTTAACCTTCTAATTCTACTTTTATAGTATTCGTAATGTTATGGAAAATTTTCTCATCATACCAGTTTAATTAATATTTTATTTAATCAAATAGGTAAATACTTTACTTCAAACTTTGTTACGTTTTTCTTAAAACGTTTTAATGAAATGCCTTTAAACTAAAGAGGTGCCATTTAAGAAAGTTATTTTAATTATAACATTTATCTATAACTACTACTGCCGCGCTAGAAATTACAAAAGCTTGGTGAAACGTAAAACGTTCACCGAGACTGTCTACCCCGCTGGGTGAAATGACGGTAGAGCTCTTAACTTATTAGCATATTCCCAAGTGGAGATAAAGCGAAAAAGGCGTTCTTACCATCAAACAACGGATCACGGCCATTTTGGAAAGTGAAAAAAAAATTCCCGGTGTGTCACAGCCAAATCACATTACTTTGCAAATCGATTTTATCTCGATATTATCGCCCGAACGAATCGATATGTCGTCTCAATCTGCTGTACTGCCTCTGGAGAACGGGCTTATATAGATACGAGGATCACCCCAGCTCTTGCACACATCTGACGTAGATCCCACTGTGCCTCCACTAAGGACTGCATACATGCACCGGTTTTGTTGCATCTCAATTAATCCACCTTAAAAACATTCATACTCCTACTACCAATACCTACAATCGTCATTAATATGAACAAACCCCGATATACGACAAATACACGTTTTACCCAAGTTTGTTTAACAATTTCTTATCTATTGTGGAATAAAACTATTTTAGCGAATTAAATGGTTACAATCACTTAACTGAAAGAGCGCAAGATGCTGTAACCAAATTCGTCATTGATATTTTATGGATTTACGATGTGATATATGCAACCTGTTTGTAGTATTCCCGAGAATATAATCATTACCTGTCAAAATATGTAAAGCAATATTATTTTTTTAGCAAAAAGTTTTTAGTTAATAGCGAAGCCTATTAAAGTGTGTTTTCCACTAAACAAAGAAACATTTCACATCGCAAGCGTATATTATAAGTCCGAATGGCGTACACTTTTTCATTTTGTATATTTTAGCTTTCTCATGTCTCCAAAACTATCTGGCCCTTTTGCTCCGACAAGATCTGACCTTTGAAACGGAAAGCGGTGCACAATATTGAGCTCCCTATAATTATATCCAATTACGGTGACAAGTCGATTAGGTTTCGAATAATTCTATTCGTCCAAGTTTATTAGTAAATTTAAGAAAAATTCAAATCTAATTTGTCCAATTATGAAGATGGTAATACCAAATTCATAAAATGCTTCAAAAGTAAAACTACTGAAAATGGTCTTCACGCACACATGGAGTCCTGATCGGACAAAGTATTAGCGTATTAGGTGACTCAAACACAGCCCTGAGTTAGGAAATTGCTTAAAGATGATATCTTTGCCATCTATCCGAAATCGAAATCAACATTTCATTCCATTTATTATCGCCAATACAACTGACAGATTAACATGAAATACATCCCGCCTAATATATTCCATATTCACCACAAATCTGGTTCGGTCCTGCTATTTCGTAACTAGCGCCGTTGAAATTGAGCAATGTAGGCATAGAGTGCAACGCGCTTTACAGTGGCCTATTAAACCCCGGAAATATTATGAGAATATTCGCCCACACCTTGTTGCTCTAAATTATGATACGGTCAACGGCGGCTAAGCTTTCAGCAAATGTGATATAATAGCTGCAAACGCTTAAACCTAACGGTATGGAGCAAATCAGAACAAATTGTTGACAGGTAAACATGGTCACGGAACAGACTGAGGCGTGACCATGAACCCTGTAAAGGGTTTGAAACTTTGGGAATCAAACTAAAAACAAACAGAATAAATCCGTAAATAGTTTCATTTAATAGTTTCATTTAAAAAGTTTAATAGTTAAGTTAATGTTCAATCTTAAGTGCAGAGATTAGCACTATAAAAAACTTTAAAAGTTTAATAGTTATTTTTTTACGGTGCTGGATTCGAACCTGGGTGTTCCGAGTAATGCGCCCAGATGCTCAAGCCAACTGAGCTAAGCGTCCGATGTCGACACGTCGCGAGAATCTCAACAGCTGTATACTTTTCATTTTGAATATTCAGCAATGCTCGGCGCCGCCTAGTCTTGCTGCCGCTTTTTTGGATGCCGAGTTGTTACTGAGTTATTGCTGAGCGTTACTGTCTGTACCAGAAGAAATAGTAAAGTGGTGCGTGTTGGTACAGGTCTATACCCAACAGTTGGCTGCTACAGGCTGGTATATGCTACAAGAACGCGTCTTCCCGATCAGGAATCTATTACTGCTTCACACAAGGCTGGGGTACAGTAGAAATTAAAGTGTTATATAAGACAACAATATTTTTTAGGGTGGTAGGGCCACGCAGCAGCCTTGGCTGTTGCACGAATGGGCAGGCTCGTCCGGGTGTGTACCACGACCTCACGGAAGACCTGCGTAAAGTGGAAGTATAATACTTTCTCGTTTCGTGTGGTGAGTGAGATAGCCGGAGCCCAATTTCCAAAAAAGTTGTCAACGCATCTGCAAACCCTCGGGTGTAGCAGATGCCCATGGGAGGTGGTATTCACTTAACATCAGGGGAACCGTCTTGTCGTTTGGCAACTTTTCACATAAAAAAAAAAACAAAATGTTCGTCTTTTAGTTTATCTTGACTTAAAAATATCTATGCTGTCATAACACAATAATTTAGTCATGGTGGGTAAAAGGGGGGCACATAAACTTTGATATTCCCAAATAGAGTTGGGATAGAAAATTATGATATTTAGTTTAAGTAAACGTAACATAAGATTTTTCTCTGATAGTAATCGAACCCCCGATCCATAGTGCCGTCCTCTTTCACGGAACAATTGTGGCGATCGAACGAATTATCAATAACTACTAACGTATTATCTACCGTTGTCTTCACAAATGCAAGTCTTCTGGCGAAAATTACTAATATTTTAGAGAAGTATTAGTGTGTAAAACATAATTACGGATTTTTAGACTTATTTTTAATTTACACAACACATTTTACATTTCCTTCCAGAAATCAAAAAGTATAATATTCGAGTAAATTAAACATTTGCAGTCAAAGACAATTATCTACTATGATAATGTAAGGTTCTATATTACATACCTGTAACTTTTGAACTATCATTGCGAGATAGTCTACAACGTTTAATAAACATCATACATATAAAGAATGTTAGTAATGATATAACAGTGGTAGGGCTACGCAACAGCCTTCATGGGCAGGTCCGTCCGGGGGAGTACCACGACCAGACAGAACACCGTCGTGAAGTGGAAGTGTTCAACTTCTGCGTTTCGTCTGGTGAGTGAGGTAGCCGGGGCCCATTTTATTAAAAGGTGTCAACGCATCTGCAACCCTACGAGTGTTTCAAATGGTTGTTTTCAACTGCATGTCCTGTCCACAAATAGCATAAACGAGAGTCCTAATTGTATAAGAAACACAGGGACAATGTACTAAACTAGTATTCTAAAATCATAAAAATTAGATAATATAGATAGTTAAATAAAAATCATAAAATATCGGTAGGTAAATCAGACAGTTCATTTCTAGGGTTCTGTACCCAAGGGGTAAAACGGGTCCCTATTACTAAGACTTCACTGTCTGTCTGTTCATCCGTCTGTCACCAGGCTGTATCTCGTCAATCGTGATAGCTAGACAGTTGAAAATTTTTAAATTTTTGTATTTCTGTTGCCGCTATAACAACAAATACAAGAAAAAAAACTGGAAATTATATTTAAGTGGGGCTCCCATACGACAGACATGATTTTTTTGCCGCTTTTATATATTATCGATAATTTTATTTTACGGTGGTAGGGCCACGCAGCAGCCTTGGCTGTTGCATGAATGGGCAGGCCCGTCCGGGTAAGTACCGTGATCTCACAGAAGACCAGCGTAAAGTGGAAGTATAACAAATACTTTCGCGTATCGTCTGGTGAGTGAAGTGACCGGAGCCCAATTTACAAAAGGTTGTCAACGCATCTGTAACCCTCGGGTGTAGCAGATATCCACGGGCGACGGTAATCACTCACCATCAGGTGAACCGTCTGCTCGTTTTGCAACTTTTCAAAAAATCCCTTTGTGCACGCTTTTCTGGTTGTACAAAGTAAACATTTATGAAGGATTTTTTTTTTCACGGATAGAGCTTTTAGGGCTTTCAATGTTTTTTCTTACATTTCTTTTAAAGGCGATCGATTGCAATTTGTTCGCATGCTAATACATATTAAACATGTTACTAAATTCAACTGATATATAGCGTGAGGCCCGTCTAGATGTGTGGACCGGGACAGAACATCCGCAACTTACGCCACCCTCGCTTATTAAGCAGTTAATTGACTTATTTGGAGACTAAATCTGCATGACATAAATGTAGTAGTTCTGGAAAAGGCAACGTTGGTCACGTTTATGGTGTCTTTGTTAAGTTTTCATAGTGCTTTTACATCAGTGAGAAGTATAAAAGAAGCTTTTACATCAGTGAAAAGTATAAAAAAAAACGCTTAAAGCTGCATATTTAAAATGATATTCCTCCAATATGTATACACTTTTCAAAAATAACAAAGTTTCAGTATGGAACATTTTTATTTTTAAGGTTTAAATTCGTTTCATAATTATTTATCAATACTGTACAATGTGACCCATTTCTAGAAGCCAAATCATAATAATGGATGTTGCATCCATTATTGTCTAAATACACTATATTAAGGAAAACTGCATAAGACTTGATTTTGAGAAAACAGTATTTCGGAGTTAACATCCCATCCTTAAAAATGTAGTGGGTTAGCTAGTAAAAAAAAATTAGACTTTCTCAGTCTCAGGTTGACGGCAATATACAGTTGTCTCGTAACTCACTATAATTACGCATTGTACACAAATTACAAATGCTCTAAATAAATGCCGTACATGACTGCAACTCTTGCCGTGATAGCTCATTTTCCGGGCGATCGCTTTTAATTCCATATACTCAAGCAACCAGAGTTCGATCCCCGGTGCCGGCACCAATGAAATTGTTAACTTTAAGTGCTGAACTATAGTGAGGAGAAGTATAGTGAGGAAGCTGCATATTTCGAAATAATAACAAAAAAAATGTTTCGAAGATATGTGAAGTCCGCCAATCCGCAGTGGGGCCGCGTGGTTGACTGTGCCCTCCGTACAGATGATACCTATATAATAATATGAACACAATATAAGGTACAGAGCATAAACTCTTGAAATAGCATAATCTGTATGCAAAGACACGGTACACTACCGCTTATTAAATAATAATTAATATCCAATACAGACTATATAAAAACTTTTAATGTTATAAATGAACATTATAAGTATTATTTTTAGGTTATATTGAAAATCTGTCTGAGTGCACGTGCATATTAATAGGCATATTTAAAGAAGTACAATATACCTATTTGATTGTTAATGTTTTATGATTCCTAAAAGCAGCGCCTAGACGCCGTGAGGTGTTTATTGCGGTAAATTGCCATTGCCGATGAATGTTTTCCCCAATCGCTGACGCAATGCAATAAATTCTATTTCTTCATCAATCACCGACACCCTCCAGGGTCCAGCGTAGATGTCCGCTCGTCCCAAATTAGGGAGGGCGGCGTGATTACGCAACGAATCAGTTTCTATGTTGGGACTTAAGATCTCGAATGGAACCGCGTTTAAGGCGATTTACGGTGACGCGGTTTTGTGTTTTAATTAGAGAATCTATTGGGCCGAAGGGTACTGGGTGAGCGTTTCTTAATGCTATCGCGATTTAAGTAAAGATTATTTTACCAACACTTTACAAAGTCCGGCACCGATTATCTCACTCAACAGACAAAACGCAAAAGAATATTTCCACTTAATAGCGGTCTTCTGTAAGGTCGTATTTCCCCGGAAACGTTCGATATTTTATCGTTCCCGAGCGTACACTCATTTGACATGACTCCCATATTAATGGCCACAGTCACTAATGTGTCAAAAGACAATCTACATACAAATCAAAATGTATATAAAGTGGGTTATCACACTGTCCCCTAGTAAAAAGAAAATAAAAAAAACTTAAGGCAGATACTTTTTACTTGTTGGATATACTTGGAGGTTCAGTTATCGTCCTCGGATTCTTCTTTCCCCAACATTGAGGGCAATTATTATTTATCCACCTGTATCGTCAAACAAGTAAGTTTGCATTTCCTACGTGAAGTATACTAGAAAGATTTTACGGACTAGGGTCATTCGGCAGCTTCGTTTGCACGAATCGGCTAGTATTGGGAAGGACCACATCCTCACAGAAGACCAGCGTGAAGTGGACGAATCATACTTTGACATTTCGTCTGACGATTAATAAGCAACAATTTATAGGATGGCAACACAAAGACACACGTGTTTGATGTTTATGTGTTTAGGCGCGAATTTAGTTCCAAGTTATTTATATTAATATACGAACATGACAGTTAAAGTAAGCAATTGTACACAGGGTCAAAATATTTTAAACTAAAAAAAAACCTCATCAACGGAATTAGTTTTAAGGCGCGCATGTCTCTTAAAAGTGCATTCGAATCGACTTTACCTACTTTTACAAATAAAGGCGCTGCCAATCCCCGACCGGTCGATTAAAAACCTAGCATCTGATACATAAGCAAATGGGACCGGCATCTTAGTGTCGTGCGTTTTTTCATCTAATCTTTATTCAAAACATCTGGCACAGTTCGTTCTAGCAAAGCTAAAAGACAAGGTCTCTAACTGAGTCAACTAACAGGTATTTAAGTAGTGTCGGAAATAGTAATTTTTACTTTAAATTCATCATCGTCATCATCATTTCAGCCGGTTTGAGTCCACTGAGTATTATGCCACCAGCATGCATCGATTCCGTCATATTTGCACAGGTCCTCAATCCAACTACGTTAGATTACTTCTTACTTAATATTCCTGCGATTTACACTCTCAATGTTTCGGATATAATAAGCACAGATTAAGCGTGTGGTCCTTAAGTATACTGCAAGTAGTGCAGTTTCTATTTATTTTTATCAATACGGTAAACAATGTGTATAAACAGAATAGTCGTTAAATAAAATTCGGAACACGTGTTGCTTACATTATTCCCTTCACTCAATGATGATTACCGAAGCTTTTCTCATTTCGGTTACCATTTCTACCGTAGTAGTCACTAAAACAACTCAATCAAGATCAAACGATGATTTTATGACGACTCGAATGGCGTTGTGGGTAGTGTACCTGCTTCCTGCGCCAGAGGGCGTGGGTTCGATCCCCAATACTGGATAAATATTGTTCGATGAACAAAGTATTTTTCTAGTGTATGGGTGTTAATATATGTATAATATGTATTAATTGACAAAAGAAAAGTATGTTTATCAGTTTTCTAGTACCCATAGTACAAGCTTTGCTTAGTTTGGGACTAGAGAATGTTGTGTAAAAATGTGTCCTAAAATATTTATTTATTTTGCTAGTATCCCAAACATTGTTGTTTAACGTTGTGTATTTTTGTTTAAAACCAATAATTTTCGAAAAAATATACGCGATTCTGCAATAAGAAGAGACCGCATTATTGTACATGTACAAAACATGTCGAGAGCTATAATTACTTTTGCCCAATTATTGAAGTAGTATTATTAATATAATTTACCTTTCTTTAGATTGACATAAGTGACAACTAACAAGGATTATAATCAGTGAAAAATTCGAGAGGATCGCTAACGCTATATAATAAAAGCAATTTCACAGCCAGAGTTTAGTACTTCGCAAAACGTCTTAAAAACTAGTGAGACGCTATTGCATAACGCAACTTACAACGAACCCTATTAACGAGAAATTTTAAGTGCAATTTGCCGTTACATAAAGATTATTTATTGCCCTCTCTCTAATTACACGGGTATGAGGTTTTTGCGCTAATGGAGCGGTTTTTATGTGCATAAGTTGAAACGATTATATGCCAAGAATTCGTGCAAGCTGTTATGTGCATTACTTAGGTGGACATAGTTAAAAAATGTGTTTGATCGTAGCTTTTTATACTTATATCATTATTTCCTTCGCGATGTTACGTTACATATTATTTCAGGAACATAGCTCTTCCTGTTATCTTACCTGGTTATCCACGGAGGTGTAGAGAGGCGACGACATAACGTTGTAGCAAAACAACTGATTAACGAAGACGATTTCGAATCGATATTCAAAATCGTAAGTGGAGGCAAATGATCAGAATAGTGAAAACATTTGGGAGACGGGACCAACTCTAGAGGATGATAATATTGCAATAGACGTCTACACTAGTTTTTATTTCACCCTTGACATTAAAAATAAGAAACATTTTTAAATGAGGCACTGACCATAAATGATGCAATTTATTCAAAACAAATTGAGTTGTTCTGCCTACAAAGATACAAACTTTTACCTATATAATATTATTCCTCTATGCAATAATTAACAAGCTAGTATAAATTTATTAAGCTTTCTTCATAAACAAATATTATATAACCAAAAACTTTTCATTACATCTTAGATAGTGCTATAAGGAAAATTATTACACGAAAAAAGTTAAAGTAATTATATGTCGTATGGAAATCAAATTTATTTCTAAGAATATAATAAGAAAAGGAAACCTAAGCTATACAATAGGTCGAGGCAGAGGATGCAACTATAGTGAAGAAAAACTCGTGTTTTGTTACTAAAGTCAAAATTATAAAAGCATAAATGTTCTTCCATATAATTTTATTGAATTCATTATAAACCTCTCCCTCACTCCAGTAACGTTTAAAAATTAAATACGGCACTTAAATAAATATAAGCCTCCCACGAAAATCAATTAAAACGCAACCACTCCATATTTAGTAATAAATAAATCGCAGTCATTCATACATTCATTATACATATCACCAATTACACGCTCGCTTCAAGCATGAAAATCTCAACCGCAAACACAAAACATAATTCTGACGACCTCTTGCCAATTTAAACGCTAAAATATAAAAATCGCAAAATATACCCCGAAACTATCATTACGAAATACATTTCATTCAATCTACAGGCTCAGTTCTGACATTCCAAGAAGGTTAAATTAAGACATTCATTCTTTCGTTCATTCCGCCGTTCTCATTCAGTCTCGTTCTCATTAATGTCCGGCGATTTAGTCGATGCGTCGACTTCGGCTTCTGCCGACGCCTCAGACGCCGACACGGCGGTCTCGCTCTCGGCCGGCGTGGTGGTCATGCTGTCCGGGAGGTTCTCGCAGTGTTTGCCGCTAATCCCAGGGGGGCAGTTGCACCTGAACAGGCCGTCGCCCGACTCCAACGACTGGCATTTGCCCCCGTTCTTGCACGTGTCTGGGTGCTTCTCGCAGTAGTTCAACTCTGTAACAAGAGTAGTTCTTAGTGGCATATTAGTCAGTGTAGCGTTTTTCTTTTCACAATGAAATAGTCTAATTTGGGTTATAATGATTATACGGGATGTAAGCTAATTTACAAGTTTTATTTAAGCCACTTGATGAAAACGACCTCACAGACGGATAAGTCGAGAGAAAATAGTAATAAGGCTGATCCCACTATCGGACGAATAGCCACAGAGAGATTTATATCTCTTGAGCAGTTGCCGCTTAGGAGAAAGGACTGCAAACTTTCTAATATGCGCGAAATTTGAGGTCTAGTAACAGGGTCAATATTATGCACTGAATAACCAAGCTAAACACATGCCAATAACTCATCATCTGTTCAAAGAAGTACCTGGGTTCCTATCGCTTTGAACTAGCTTTTGTTATTAGGCAAATACTGGTTCTACTTCTATGCTCACCTTCATCGCACAGCATGCCGCCCCAGCCCTGCTTGCAGAGGCACTCCCAAGGCCTGTTGCACGTCCCATGCACGCAGCCAGGGTACCTGTGACACTGGGTGCAGTTCTGGCCCGTCCAGCCGACCTTGCAACGGCACTCGCCAGGTCTCCTGCAATACCCGCGTTCCCCGTGGCAACCGGGGGCACAAATCGCTGGAACAGTAAATTGTTTATCAACTATAGTTGTATCATTGTCACCAAGTCATTCTATCCGGGTAATACTTGACCATTATAACTGCTGAATGAATGTTCTTTTTTTTTTTTTTGGGAATAAGTATTTAAATATTTTAATACATTTTCTGGACCCAAACTAAACAACGCTCGTATCATGGGTACGAGATAACTGATAAACATACTTTTCTCTTGTAAATAAATTAAAACTACACCATGTTAATCACACAATATTTTTCTAGTAGCGGGGATCGAACCCACACCCTCTGGCGCAAGAGGCAGGGTCACTACCCACTACCGCCCATCGAATCGACACTCGGTTGCCACTCGGTCGACCGTATTGCATTTCATCGTGTATTCTGATATCATTCCTATTTGGTCGGGTTGATCAGATGTCTATAATGTACAAACGTTAAACTTGCGTATGTTTGTACTGGCAAAACACGAATATTGAGTCGACTTGACTATCGAATCTTTACTCAACGTTACATTCATGTTGAAAATGAAATTGTAAAAAACCTTAAAATCGATTTTGTTGAGGATAATTGTCGAAAAATTGAAACCGGCATCTTTCTAGTTACGCGCCCAAAGGCTATTTGCAATCAACGCCCAAGCGCAATTGCTGGCTTAGAGGTAGATATCCTCACGAATTTTTAATACAGGGTAGTGTAATGTTTTGAACGATGTATTTATTGATGAAACAATGTTCGCTTGAATACTTTACTTTCAAACTCATACCTAGACGTTAGATATAGCCAGTTATATAATTATAATCATGTACATCATCTTTAAAAAATACTAATATTGTACATTATTATTATGTACCTGTATTAAGATCTATCCCTACAAACGGCGTGAAAACAAAACTTACTGTGTTATATTCTATTGTATACAGTATGTTATATTAATAAAGGCAAACTATCATCATGTTTATGTAACAGAAAATACGTATGACCATCACGTTATCCTTGTCATAAGGATGATTGACCTCTACATTCAAACAAAGGGAATGGAAAGTGTTTGACTCATTATTACGTGAAGTAAAAAGGAGGAAGTGATTATAGAATCTTCGTCGACACATTATATTGAAAGCGAAATAAGAGTATCCGTGCCTTACTTTTAAAATACTATTATTATAATATACCTATGAATTTTCGCTGCATTTTCGGATTATTTTATTCTTTATTGCAGTATTAAGATATTGGACGCCTGCCCTCGAAATGTGAACAAAATTTATTTAAATAATAAATCGAAGCTCAAAGAATACTCACGGATGTCGCAAACTATATTAGTTATCGAATTATGTAGAGACTGTATCAAAATGAATGAGTGACATTGTAGTTTACACTGAGATAGGGCCAAACATCAGATTCCGCTATAGCGCGAATGGACAGGCTAGTCCGGGAAAGTAATGCCTCACCGGAATACAAGCGGAAAATGTCATAATACTTCTTACACAACGTTCTCTAGTCCCAAACTAAGCAACGCTTGTACTATGGGTACTAGATAACTGATAAACATACTTAAACATACTTTTCTTTTGTAAATAAATACAATATATTATACATATATAAACACCCAGACACTAGAAAACCGCTATGTTCATCACACAATATTTTTCCAGTAGTGGGGATGGAACCCACACCCTTTGGCGCAGGTGGCAGGTACACTACCCACTACTCCATTCAGGTCGTCAATATACCTCTACCTCTGCTTTTGCTCTCTTTTGATCCGTGTTTCAGAAACCGGGCGTATGTAAAAAGGACTTACGTGTCTGGCAGAGGAGCCCAGTGTAGCCGGGTAGACATTTGCACTCAAGCGGTTTGTCGCAGTAGCCGTGTTGGCAGCCTGGCAGCGGCTGACAGGCGCGGCAGGTGGGCCCTGCCCAGCCGAGGCGGCACCTGCACTCCCCTGGACCCTCGCAGTAGCCCCGGGTAGCATGGCAGTCGGAGCGGCATATGGCTGGAGATATTTGAATATTTTTGAATATAGAACGTGAATCGAACACGTAACAGATTGTATACCAAACTTAGTACGACATATGTCTTATAACATAACAGATTTGTTAAATGTAACACAGTACAGTTTGCCAGGTTCTTAATCTTTATAGAATGAATGGTTATCATAATATTATAATGTTACCATAATAACTATACTTTATATAAACATGATATTACGTGTTTTGAAAATGTTCGCGTTTATTCTTCTTGTTCGCTACCGCGAGTGTAATAAATATATTTCACTTGCTACGAATGTTTTTCTACAAATAATTCATCTTAGGTGCAGAGATGAGCAATGTAAAAATTTTATGTAAAATTTTAATTTCAATAGCAAAGGCGATAACCCCTCATTCTAATTAAAGATAAAAACATTGAGATTTTAGTTAATGCAGCAATCAGCCGTTTAACTTAGTGGCTAGAGCGATTATCGAAAAACTTTTAGCGTAGCGTAGCGACGAAAATCTTTTAATTTTTTTTTCACAAATTTTAACTGATATCAGACTGGATTGACGAACAAAAGGAGATAAATAATTTAAGCGGACATAATTTATGAGGCGTTTAGCATTTTATAAACGACGTCGAAAGAGCTCGGTACTCACGTTCCGAACAGAAGATCCCGTCCCATCCAGGGCGGCACTGGCACTCGAAGGAGACGTTGCAATAGCCGTGCTGACAGCCCGGCAACGGTATGCACTTGTTGCAGCGTTCGCCGTAGAAGCCTAATTTGCAACGGCACTCCCCTGGTCTGTTGCAATACCCTGGAATCATTCAGGTTAGCTACATTTTCGCTAGCACTTTTTCAATTGTCTCTCAGCTCTTGTCTTTTGACTTCAGTACAATAATAAGAATGATGCTGGCGGTTTACCAGATGTTAAGTGATGTCCGCCAATGACATTTGCGACACCGTAGGGTTTAGATGCGTTGCCACCTTTTAATAGAGTGGAACCCGGTTACCTCACTCACCAGACGAAACGCAGAAGTATAAAATTTACACTTCACGCCGGTCTTCTGTGAGGTCGTGGTAGATCATTGGACGGACCTGCCCTTTCGTGCAATAGCGAAGACTGTTGCGCGGCCCCAACTGATGTTTTCACTTTCATTCCGAGAGTAGCTTTATGGAACGCATAGCTCGTGGAACAAAAACAACGGATCAATATATTCTATACATTCTCAGATTATTTAAATTAATTCAATCCAACTGAAGTTAGTTGAACAACTAGCATTCAATCGCTTTATCGCTGGACGATGATTAAACTGCTCTGGACGATGGTTTATAGCGCTGAACACCGACAAGAAACGCAACTCTATGTAAGGTATTTTGTATTTGTATAACTGATGTTACGCTTCCAGTCCTTAGACTATAAAAACTTCATCGAACGCGGAACCGGTGGGCTAGCCAGAACCCACGGGTTTGAGACCCTCAGTGGGTAGGGCCGTGCATGTACTCATGCGTGCGTTAATCATGGCATGTCGCCTACGAGCCATCGAGGTTCGGTGCGGACCGTGACCCCGATGGCCGTAGACTGTGCTCGGTTACTATGTAAGGATGTCACTAAACGCACGAGACGGGTGAATACCGACCTTGCAGCGGGTCGCAGCCCTTCTTGCAAATGGGCACGTCGCAGAGGTCCCCCTGCCAGCCCTGCACGCATCTGGGCTCGCCGTTGTCATCGCAGACATAGTGGCTGTGCTCGCTCTGCACCGCCGGCAGCTCGCACGCCTGACGGAGAGGCTTCTGAGATAAGGAGACATTTGTGACAGGTGCATTACGTGCTGGGTGGGCAGTGGCAAGCTCGGAACGGTTAAGCGCAAGCGGCGGTTAAGGAGTCACTCCTTTTGGGGGGAATCCTTTTGAATTATTTCACAGTTAAAATCATGCAGTAAACGATTGTGTATAATTCAATGTGAAAATGAGACAATTCAGTCGCACAGTAAGAGCACAACATGCGGTATAACCAAACAGAGATACCCGATGAAAATTAGTTTCTTAGCTTCCCTATTGAGTTCCACATTAGGTTACGGTCTCTTACAAGGAATGCCAAGTCGTAACTATAAAATTATTGTGTTATTTTCAATTCTTGAGCCGCAATAGCTCGGTGTCTGGGCGCTTGCCTTTAATTTAATTTACTCGAGCAACCTGCGTTCGATCCCCGATGCCGGCACCAAGGAAATTGTTAATTTGTAGTGTTCATATATCACGTGCTCAGCGGTGAAGAAAACATCGTGAGGAAATCTATATAAATATTTCGATGATATGTGATGTCCGTTAATCCGCAGTAGGGTCGCGTGGTGGACTATACCCTGATACCCTCTTTAAAGAGGAGGCCTTTGCCCATCAGTGGGACATATAAAGGCTTTACTTTTTGTCCGATTCTTAATATGTGTGCAGAATGACGAATTATTCAAATGTCTGGAAGCATCGATAAATGGATTTGACTATTGTACTTAGACAATATTTGGTAAATAAGACTGTAGAAGTAAGAGAATCAGTTTCAAGACAATTTAGTTTATTTATGCGTCAATGCATGCCGACACCTATATATCATGAGTCAGTATAGAACAAAATTCAAGACAGTATGTCGCTTAATACATGATATCGAAGAAGTAGTAGTATTTTACTACTTCTTCAATATCATGTATTAAGCTTCATTAAGCGGCGCAAGCTAGACCTAGCTTAGACCCGATAACTACCCGGGGGCAACTTTCTATGAAATTAATGGCGGACTTGAAACGACCTAGCAATATACGACCTTAGTCCACTGACCATCTAACCATCGAATGCTAAAATCACACACAAAATCAATACTTGCAGCTTCTGAGCCTTGGGCTTTGACGTCACAGGATAAAAGTCCGAGGACACGACTGCGAAGAATAAAGACAACTTGTATAACCGAAAAACAATTGTTGCAAATTTGGTAACTTGTGTGTGTATTGTAGTGTAGTGGGTTCAACAAAACAGAATAATATTTATTTAAATAGAAGAGATAAAAATAATTAAACACAACGATCAAACCGTGTTGTATGGAGTAGAAAATAAAACACAGGGCTCTAAATAAATCGATATAGAAAGCCTCTTAAGACTTTCTCGTGACGAAACGCTTACAGAACTCGTTTGCCGTTAACAAAACGCTGCTTAGCCAATGAAAAAAATCTCGAGATTGTTTCAAATTAAACCAGTTTATTTTGAAAAGTAGAAGAAAGTAAAAACTTATCGAAAACAAGATCTTAATCAGCCACGAAACTGAATGGAACTGCTTTTAGAAACTAAAAGTAATGCGAGAAAGACACGTTTGTTAAAAGATAATGTTGATGTACTAATATTTTCCCTCGATTTCAATTCAGGTATACTGGGAAAGTGGATGTTTATTTTGACCAATCTAATATTCGAAGTCAAGAACGAATCCATCGAAAACTTCAGATTTCAAACTAGTGGAAAAACGTATCGAATGTTTGAAACTACACCGCACCGGTTCGCCGTCGCTGTATGACACTTTTAGAGTTTATAACTCGCATAACGTAACTGCAAATTCTTTGAAAGTTTTGCGATCACAAATTCGGGATGAACACCATTGAAAGCGCTAATAGACAATAAAAAGCGGCAGTAAGACTTGAGTTAACACAAAAATGATTATTTAAATCGATAGAATCTATTTAGTTCTGTCCAAGGGCTTACTAACTAACGTCAAATTGACAAACCAACGAATTTAAAGCGATTTAAGTGTTTAAAATTGACCATTAAACTAACGGGATGAGAATATGCCGATTTGATTTATTTTTCAATTCGCTCTTTTACTATTAAGGTCGAGCGGTAGATGAAAAAGAGGACTGATTATGCAGCCGTAATAGGGCATTCCCCGCATGCGAATTATTCCAAGCGCGTAATGAACAGCCCGTGCAGTGTAGAAATTTGCGCATGGCCACTCAAATGAGGCAATTAGCGCTGAAGTTGCAAACTTTAAGGCGTTCATCGAATTTGGTAGCAGATTTCCGCCGCAAATACTCGCAAAGGAATACCGTCTCTCCCAAGGATGTCCGCGAGACTATTGAAATAAAGAAGGGTCCCAGTTTCAATATGGAAGACGGTTGGGATTTATCATCAGCTTGGGATGCCATAATTCATAAAATTAAATCCAAGCATTACCAACACTACTAGACCTCAAGATACCAAAAGCTCCTTTTGCCGCAAAAGTTTTGCATAGATTTGAATAAAAATAAATAAGAAAATAATTGATAGTAGCCCGAATACGCGATAAAATCCGCAAAATAGTTGCATTTAATAGGCTATATGGCTTTGGCGTTGGAAGTCGTAGGTTCGATTTCTGCACGGAAGGTATTTGTGTGGCCCACAGATAATTGTTCTGGGTCTGAATGTTTGATTCGCAAGGAGGGTTCACGTCAGGCAGGCGGCCGGTCGTAAAAAACATTTTTTTTTATTTAGAACTGGCCAGCACTTGACTGCCGTCCCACCTGATGGTAAGTGGCGATGCACCCTTTGATAGTAAGCGCGCTAGGTCAGTAAAAAACTATTCACTCTTGCCTTGAAGACACCTACGTTGCCATAGCCAAAACCGCTTGCAAAATAATAATTCACATTTTAGGTGACGCCACCTAGGTGGGATAAGGGCTGCAGAATGGTGATGTACAAAATCCAGCCAATTTCAATCGCGATGTTCATTTTCTATAGCTCAGATCGCTTTTGGTTTGACTCGAATATATCAAACTCATGGTCACCTGGAGTCGGCACATGTGAATTATTTTGTTGGTGGTTTTGGCTAGGTTTTTTTAAACGACCGTACGAAGCCTGACGGCATATGACGCCTATCGACACACTAGCTATCACACTTTCTTCGATAGAAATGTAACAAAGAAATCAACATGCATTTTCAAACAAAAGAATCCATACGTACTATTACCCGGCTCTTTGAAAGACACGCAAAAAGCCGCGTATAAATCTTTTGTGCGGCGCCGCTTTGTTTTGGCTCCTTGACCCAGAATATTTCGTTCTCTCCTTGAGCCAGGACGGCTCGTGAACACTACGCCGGTGACTCACGGCCCAACTTTCTAATATGAGCGCGAGAAAGCAACAAGAAAGTGTGTCGCGAGGAAAACCGCGGTGAAAATATATACAAACATAGCTCTCGGGCTGTTCCCGAGAGATGTTTATATCTCTAACATACATTTATCATAAAATTTCCATTTACGGCTTATGACTATGTCCGGACTTCTAGGGAGCGATTTGACGTCTATTTGCTTATTTATTTATTTATTTGGCACGGTTACAAAATTATTATAACATGAGAATATAACATGAAATTATTACAGACCAATACATATTACTTAAAACTTGCATTTTAATAACAACCGAGCACAACATTCAATTTGAATAGGTTATTTTAATAATCTATGTAATAAATAATACTTAGCAATTTACTTGTAAGAAAGAAGCAGACCAATATTTTCTTATGACTTAATAAAAAATAATAAGCGATTAAAAAAATGCGAATCGATTGAAGGTTTTAAGGTTCGCGAAAAAAATATTTTTAAATTAGTCTAGTATAAGCTAAACTTGGTGACTAATTATCATTTCGACCACAACTGTACTGAAATAATTTTCGAGACGGAAGAATATCAACAAAAATTACCGTAATAAATCAATTAACTAATAATAATCGTTATGGATATTATTATTATTATTATAAAAAAAATCTATGAATCATGTAATACGACATGTATCTCGGGAACTGCAGCGCTTTCAATACATAAAAATAATTGCCGATGTAACATAATCAACCCAAACAACATGAGAAAGATACAAATAAAAAATGGGATCGGTGAGTGCGACAAGAAGAAAACGTCTTAAACTCGATCTGCATAAAACGTCTTAAACTCTTATGCAGATATAAGTACCAATGGTACTTTTTTTTGACCTTCAATAAGAGCTCAAGTTAAGTCTATATTGAATTAAGATATTTTGACTTTTTACTTTGACTTTGAAAGTTTCAGTTGAGATTATGTGTTTGTGCCATTTTCTGTTGAAACTTTATGTCCATACATCGAAATTTTTGAAAGGTTTTCGTCCTAGACTTGTCTCCGCGGCTGGTGACAAAAGGGATGGTTCTTTTCTCGTTCAATGGTTAAGCATAACTCTTCAGCGAGTAAATGCGTAGTTGTACTAGCGTTATTGACACCATGCCGCGTGGACTACATTTATTAGGTAATGTGTTATTTAGCTAGATTTTATTTTGTAAATATATCCAATATAAAAAAAAACTTTAAGTATATAATTAAAAAAAAACTCTGAGACCGAATACTTTCTTGGACGATATACAGATTTCAGTTTTCCTTAATTAAATAATTGACATTAAAAATACTAATTCACTAACTATATATAAAGTTTAACAATTTAATACCATTATTATCGGAAGATAAGCTAAATACAATAATAAAAAAATATTTATTTATTATTAATTAAATTGTAAATAAAAAGATAAAATTATATTTTGTGGAAAACATAACAATTTTTAGTTACAAAAGGACATTAGTCATACGACTATATTAGTCGTTAATGTGTTATTATTTATTAGCAAAGACAAACAAGACTTTTGACAATTTTCTCGGAACTTTGGATAATTTTTATAACCTTTCGTTTAATTATTCTATATCATTCCCGTGAGCTAAAGGGAGTCTGAACGTCATTTATGACCAAGATTTTCAGGGTTTGTGAAACCTTCCACGACACTTAATTAATTTCCAAGTGCGAGTGGCATTTTAAAAAAGAGAAAGAAAAATATGAAGTTAAATCATTCAATTTTTAGGGATATAATTAATCTTATATTTATAGAACATTATAATTTAAAATAAAAAGTGTGTAACTTCAAACAGGGTAGCAGATAAAATAGTGTGCGAAATACACGAGGTCACGGTAATGAATATGTTTAATGAGTATAATATTTAAAACATATATTTTGTAAAATGCGTGAAAGAATTCTTTTTACCAAGAACTCCATAATTTAGACAAAACAATTAGAAAATTAGAAAAAGACAACATGTATGCCGACAGCTATTTATAGCGAAAAGCATTTTCAAATTTTCATCGTGAAAAAACTCACCTGTTTCTTCCATTTCGGTAAATACTTAGCCGGCACCACTTCTGGTAAAACACAACATATTACGGCCGAAAATATTAAATACCTCATCCTTAATCCATAGACAACTAACGAGGAAGTGCAACTGCGCGGATAAAAGGTGCAAACGAGATTTGCAGACTTAACGGTTACTATATCGAGAGATCTTATTGCTTAACGGTAGAATCTCAGTGCGATGGTGCGCGAACGCAATCTTGACCGGTACTGTTATACTGTGTTATTGAACTTGACTTTAGAGAGGCTACTTTCGCCGGAATCGCTGTTATCCAGGCCACGAAAATAGCGGACGAACGTGACGCATCATTGATAATTTTGTTCATAGATCTTATGACTTGTTACCTGAAGAATCAATGCTTTATGGAAACACGTAATGCATTTGTCCCCAAAATCAAAATGTTTATATCTAAAACAAAAGACATTGTTATCAAAAACTGCTTTAACGTTTGCTCGGTGATGTGATTGTTCACTTTTATACACAAAGACAGTACCGAATTAAGCAAGCGCCGGGCCCGTAGCAAACCCTTTCAAACAGCCCTAAATCTTCTATGGATTCTTAAGTATAAATTGGTAAAAAAATAATTCAATACTCTAACTTATACATAAAATAACATCGACTTAAAAATATGTCTCAGGCTATGGCTCAGGCAGAGATGAGAGGGTTTAAATACGGGCCCCCCTTTGACGGCGGGGCCCGTAGCAATTTCTACTCTTACTGCGTTGGTAATCCTGCACAACGATTATTTTTCTTACCTCTATCCTCCATGGTTTCGAATTTGATATAGGTACGTAAAAGAGGATCAAGAAAGAAAAATAAATTGTGCCTTTCAAACATCGAAAATTCTTAAGCAAACCCAAACATACAATTTATTGTTACTAATATAATTAAAACATTTTACAAAAAAAAAGCTTCAATTCAAGTTATAAATATGCAAAGTCGAAAAGTAAAAAAATCTTAATAAACAACAAACCGCTTATTTAATGGCCTGAACGCAAAACCATCTAGACTGCATTCGCGACTCGGAGGTTTGCAAACGACAGAAATAAATCCCATTCGATATATAACGTCGAACCTCGAAGTAAAAAGAGTTGAAGAAAAAAGAACTTTCGAATATAGTTATATATATGGAAATTCGATAAGCAAGACAATATAGAATATTTAACGAGAGAAGCACTAAACATTTTATTTGGCGCAAAAGTATATCGTACAGCTGATACGTGTTTTAGGTTTTATAAGTGAAATAGCTTCAAATTCATTTTTCGAGTGTCGGAACACACCACCGCCACCATTAGAATTTGGGGCATTCCGTAAACCTCTTTCTCTACCCAAAAAGGAAAAGGTTTAATCACTTTTTAACATGAGCTGACGTGGGACTGTACTCGAATAGATTATGCTATTTAAATCGACAACCTTGATATAAAACATGTTACATTTATTAAGTATGCAAAAAGTATGGTGGTGCAACTTTATTTGTCAGCTTTCCTCTGAACCTAACTTTAGCAGAGCTTTAAAGCGAGTCCTTTATGCAGCTACAGAAGTGAGCACTACTTTCAATGTCCTTGAGCAAAGACAACCGTTATGTCGATTAATTAATTAGTAGGATTTAGAGAAAAAATCGTATCAGACCTGGCAACAGTATCAATAACAAAACTTACAATTATTCCTTTACACGTCATTTTATGAACAAGTTTTGTGACTGTAAATGTAGCTCTTTCTACACGCCTGTAGTCCCGTTTCACTCTAAGGGGATGATGTTGCTTGCGTCCGTATGAGCTATTTTAATTGTGATGCCCTACACGTGTCCCCCTGGGTAGTGATAAACGATAAATAAATTTGTAGTAGGGCTTAAGATTAGCTACCGGCTTGCAGTTACTACCCATATGATAAAGCCATGTCAACAAACGTCGTGTGCGGCGGTAATTCAGACTGGGACAGCTTCTAACCTTATGAAACGCATAAGTTCAGCCTTGTATGTACTGCTGCCATATTTGGATGGGTGCTCCTAATTACCAACTTAATGCTTTGTATTCAATGCAGAGGCGATGAGACTCATTGATGATCGTAATTTGGTTAGAACCAATCGAACTAACGTAGGATATCCAGCCTCTCAGTTATCTACAGGTTGAATTTTGGATGTGCATCGGAATTACACAAGTTAATTCCTCCCTCCCTTTTCCATCTTCGGACGACTAGGCACACGGCAAGGTTCCTTTGCTGTTGACATTCCACGCACTCCAACTATTAGTTTTGCTAAGTCATTTAATATGCTAACAGCAACAGATTGTAACAGTTTGCCGGCGTCTTTCTTTCCGTTCAAGTATAACGGGTGTCTTCAAGGCAAGAGTGAATAGGGTTTTTCTGAGCTAGTGCGTTTAACATCTACAGAAGTCTCTTATAAAAAAAGGTGACTAAATCAGGACATGCTTGAGGTCACCGCCATCGCTGCAGCAAAAAGTTGTTATTACTATGACAACATTTTGTGATATATCGATGACCACAACTGACCACCAGCACACCCCCCCATGGGCTGGTCTGTGCTCGGCCCGTTACTTGAATCTTAATCCGTGAACACGACTACATGAAATACCTGGGCCCACACCTAA